TTTAATATTTTTTTTACTAAATTTTAATATCTTATATTAAAAGGAAATATAAATAAAAATATCTTATTTATAATTCTAGAATAGGCTATTAGTTAAGAACTTTAAAAAATATTAATATACTTTAAAATCTTATTATAATATTATAATTTTATTAATTACTTATAAAATCTAAAAAATTACTATTATTATTATATAAGTACTACTCTACTTTTATCTATAAAAAATTTCTAGCCTCTCTAATCTATTTTAAAGCTAACTCCTACTACTTAAATTTCTATAATCCCTATTAATCTTGTTATTACTATTACTCCTATTAAAGACCTGATAGACTTATCTACTACCTATTATCTTGATTATTAAACCTAATACCTGTATTATTACTATAGTAGTACTAATTATCTAGTAGGTAGCTACCTGTATTCTAACTAAAGACTAACTAGTCATACCTTTATATTTATTATTAAGCTGGACTTATACCCCCTATTAACTAGAACCCTGCCTGCTGAATACCTTATATCCCCTAAATTAGAAAATAGAGTATCCCTAACCTAAGCTATAATTAGGAATACCCCTAGTACTCCCTCTACCTATTAAAGGCTGTAATAACTAGAATAATAATAGAAGAGAAAAGTTACTAATCTAAATTAATAATTTTACTTATTAACCTAGAAATCCTTAATAAGATTTTACTAATCTTTATTATAATTAACTCTAGAGTTAAGGGTAAATATTTTATAAACTATAATTAGGCTATAAATAATTAATTAAAGATACTATTATTAAGAAATCCTATCTTATTAAAAGGATTTAATAATACTCTAGTAAAGTTTAATAATATTACTTATTTTATTTATTTAATTTAAAAAATTTATAACTATATTAAAAAAAATATTACTTTTTTTATAATCTAACTTATATATTTTCCTATTATTCTTAATTTACCTTAATTAAAGATCTATAACCCCTAGATTAAATTTACTAATTATATTATTCTATTTAAAAGTTCTTATTATAAGAAGTACTATAATATATCTCTAAAGTTTATAAAGATTTTAATATTATATAATATATTATTAAAAATTTTTTCTTAATATCTTAACTCCTACTTTAAATCTCTAAAGAATTAAGATATTACTAGAGTCTTAGTTACTATCTATATTATATATACCTACTATAGATACTAGATATTTGCTACTATTATTACTAATATTAAAGTTATTCTAAACCCTATTATTATTATTAAATCTAAACTATAAGAGTAACTATCCCCTAAGTTTACTAAATTTTATAATATATTCTTATTAAAGGAGGCTAAGTACCTGCTACTCTACTAATTTAATAATTATAAGATTAAATTACTACCTAGAAAAATCCTACCTTTTAAGAGCCTATATAATATATCCTAAGATAAATTAAAAATTCTAAAGGAATAGATTAAAGAGAATCTAAGAAAAAGTTTTATTTACTCTAGTTCTTCTCCTATTATATCTCTTATCCTATTTATAAAGAAACTTAAAGGAGGCCTGTAATTCTATATAAATTATTAAGCCTTAAATATAATTATTATAAAAGATTATTATCTACTATTACTAATAAAAGAGATACTAAATAATCTAAAAAAGATAAAGTATTTTTTAAAAATTAATATTATTTTTACTTTTAATAATCTATAAATTAAGAAAGGATAAGAATACCTTACTACTTTTTAAACTTAATTAGGCTTATTTAAATTTTTAATAATATTATTTAAGCTTACTAGAGCCCTAATATTATTCTAGAGATTTATTAATAAAGTTTTATATAATTATTTAGATATTTTTTATATTATATATCTAGATAATATTCTAATTTATAGCTAAACTTATACTAAATATACCTATTATATTTAATAAGTATTAGAATATCTATAAATAATAAGACTTTATATTAAATTTAGTAAATATAAATTCTTTATATATAAGATAAAGTTTCTAAAACTAATTATAGGTAGAGATAGTTTTTAAATAAACCTTAATAAAGTAAAAATAATTACTAAGTAAGAAATACTAATCTATCTAATAAATATCTAAGCCTTTATTAGCTTTAGGAACTTTTATTACTAATTTATCTATAATTTTTTAAAAATTATTAGACTATTAGTTAACTTAATTAAGAAAAATATTATTTTTAACTAGATATTTATTTATTAAGAAGTATTTAAATAATTAAAAATTACTTTTATAAATACTCTAATACTAAAATCTTTTAACTAGTTAAAAAATATAATTCTAGAAATTAATATCTCTAATTATATATTTACTAGAGTATTATTATAATATAATAATAAAAATATATTATATTCTATTATATTTTTCTTTAAGAAATATTTTATAATAAAATATAATTATAAGATTTATAATAAAGAATTATTAATTATTATTTACTATTTTAAAAAATAGTATTTTAAATTAGAAGGAACTTTATTACTTATAAAGATTATTATAGATTACTAGAATCTAGAGTATTTTATATTAACTAAGCTACTAAATTATTAATAAACCTGCTAGTCTAAATTTCTATTAAAATTTAACTTCTAGATATATTACTACTCTAGAAAGTTAGGTATTAAGCCTAATATACTAACTAGAAGGTCAGAGAACTTACTTAAGAAGAGGAATAAATAACTCCTTTACTAAAGCTAGACTATCCTAAAATTTAAAAACCTACTACCTGAGACTATTACTAATCTAAAACTAAATATTAATAGCTAATATTAAGTATACTTTACTAAATAACCTGCTATTAATAAATTAATCTCCCTATTACTAATATTATAACTACTATTTAATAGAGCTTATTTATAAGATAAAAAATTCTAATTTATTCTAAATATCTTAAAGAATAATCTACTAAAATACCTTAATATTATACTAGCTAACTATAAATATACTAGTCTATACTTAAGATATTAAAATTAACTTTATATACCTAATTATAATAAGATAAAAGCTAAAATATTAAGACTTTATTATAAAAATCCTGCTACTAAATATCTTAAAAAAACTAAAATATATAAATTAATATTATATAAATATTTCTAGCCTAGAATTTATAAATATATTAACTAATAAGTCTAGAATTATTATTTTTATTATTAAATTATTCCTTCTTAAGAAATAAAATAAGGAATATTAAGATTTTTATTAATTTTTAAATATACTTAGCAAGATATAAGTATAGACTTTATTATATATTTATTATTAAGTAATAGCTATAATACTATTCTAGTTATAATTAATTATCTAATAAAGATAAAGTACTTCCTTTCTTATACTAGAATAATTAATATTAAAGGGGTAGCTAACTTATATCTTAAATATATTTAGAAGCTCTATAATATCCCTAAAATAATTATATTAAATTATAGAGTCTAATTTATTATTACTTTTTAAAAATATCTAATATCCTACCTAAAGATTTATAATCTATTATTTATTATTTATTATTTTAAAATTAATAACTAAATTAAATATATTAATATTATTTTAAGATAATATTTATAAGTATATATATTATATTTATAAGATAATTAATTTAAATAATTATTAATAATTAAATTTATTATTAACTTTATTTACTTTAAATTTATAAAAATATTATTATTTATAACTAACTATAAATTCTATCTAATATTAAAATTTAAATTAAGCTACTCTATTATCTATCCTACTAAAAAAGATATTAAGAAATTTACTAATATTATATATAAGATTTATAAATTTATTTATATTAAGATTTTATTTACTCAAGCCTATTATAAAATATAAATTAATTATTAAAAATAATCTATATATTACTATACTATAGAATAAAAAGTCTAGCTAAATACCTATAATATTTAAATACTTTACTTGTAAAAAAAATTAGATTAAAAAAATTTTAAATTATATTATATTAAAAAAATTATTAGTCTATATACTTATAAATTTAAATTATTTAAAAATATAAAAATCTATTTTATATTTAATATATTTTTACTTTATTTTACTATTAATAATTCTTTATTTAGTTAATATTCTAATTTATTATTATTTATTAAAGTAGAAGGATTAAAAGAATAAAAAGTTAAAAAAATCCTTAATTTTTAATAAGTTTATCAAGACTATAGTAAACCTAAACTATAATATATTATTAAGTAAATTAAATATAATAAGCTAATTAAAGAGCCTGTTAAATATTTAAAAAATATTTACTAATTAGTAAATAATTACTACCTTTATTATCCTAAGAAATCCTAGCTAATTTCTCTCTAGTCTTAATAAAGCTTGACCCTAAGAAGGGGGGTACTATTATAATATAAAGCTATAATACCTATCTAGTTAGATTCTACCTTGACTATCTATCTTTATTCCTATATTTAAGTTATATTATCCTTAATCCTGTTATAGCTCTTCAAGCTATGTCCTGTTTATTACCTAATACCTACTATTCTGCTGTTCTGTCTGGTTAGCTCCTAGTCAATGAATATCTGAATCCGACTCTGCCCCCTGACATTTACATTCCTGGGTGTACCTTTTGAGGACTGATAAGATAAGTACTGGGAGCTAACTTTGATACTTCTATTCAAGCTTGAACTATAGCTATACCTATCTATGTCTGGGGTCCCTAGTAGTGCCGAGTATCATGCCATTTCCAGACTATTTGTGACTCTTAGCTCTAGATTAAAAACACCCTCAAATAGCAACTGGATGAAGTCATAACAGGGCTACTCAGGATAAGTAAATGCCCCAGGGGTCAGCGGAATAAACCAAAGACTCACCAATCGCAGCCATAGTATAGGGTAGTGGGAAGAGTCTGCTAAAATAATCCACAGATGTTGAAAATCTCTGGATGCGATGATCAGATAAGATAGGAATGATACACCGTGGCCCGTGCAGTACATTCCAAAACCAACATAACATGTAATGTATCATAATTCTGCCAGCCAGGCTAGCTAACTCCTCCATCTTCAACAATCTACCCCCCCCCCCAACACACCCTAACCAAGCCCCTCACCATGGCTCTTGTATCATATTCCGACTCGGAAGCCTCGGATTCTGAGCGCGAAAACGACTCGCCCGCCCCCACCTCCGCCACAGCTAGTAAACCAGCTCCGTCGTCGTCCTCATCGAGCGCAAACTTCCACTCCATCGTCGACAAAAGCAACCCCCGCAAGATCCGCGTCGCTCTGCCGGAACTCAAGCCAGAGAACCCAGATGGCGAAGATGGCCCCACGCGGAAAAAGCCCAGGGTAGGAGGAGGAGGGGCCTTTTCTGGGTTTAATTCGTTTCTTCCAGCGCCGAAACGAACCAACGCTACCGCGGATAAAGAGAAAAAGGCGCCAGGCTCTGCGCGGAAGGTATTCAGTTTGAAAACTGGAATTGCTCCGGGGTTTGATCGGGAAGCTGATGCGGAGATGCGGAGAGATATGGCGTTTGGGGCGGGCAGAGCTGGTGGCGGTGATGATGATGATGATGATGATGAGACGATTCCCAAGGCTGGGGCTTTGCGCGGGGAGGAAGAGGCCTCAGACGCGGCGCAGCAGAATGATCGGCAAGCTGTGGACAAGAAGAAACCAGAGGAGGTTGTGTTGAAGGGTAATCCGATGATGTTTAAGCCGTTATCTGTGGGACGGACGCAACCGAAGAAGAGGAAAGTCATCGCCGCTACTCTTGCTGGGGCTTCGACTGCTTCGAAGGAGTCGACGCAAGTCGCTACAACGACTTCACAGTCTGGGGCTCCACCACCACCACCACCTCCTCCTCCTGCTCCTGCGCCGAAGCCGAAAGTTAGTCTCTTCTCTTTGTCGACGGAAGATTCTGCATCGGGTAGCACTACGCAAGCACAGGGTGGCGCTTATGAGCCCCTGGTATACACTAGGAATGAGGACGCAGCCGCAGCAGGCCCTATGCCCGAATCGGATACTGTTTCGTCGGCATCAAATCAAGGGGCAGCTCCCCAGGCACAAACGCTAGATTATATTGCTGACGATCTAAATCTCTCGCGCTCTCAACGACGCCAGCTGTTTGGTCGCAATGCGGACCCCTCCAAGTCACGCATCCTCCATTTCAATACAGACCAGGAATACGCTGCCAACCAGGCGTTGGCCCATGAAACAGATCTTGCAGCAGCCCAGCACAACCCCGTCAGGGCTATCGCTCCTGGGAAACATACGCTGCAGCAATTGGTCAACGCTGCGAGTACTCAGCGGGAAGCACTGGAGGAAAGTTTTGCATCCGGGAAACGGAACAAGAAAGAAGCAGGTGCGAAGTATGGGTGGTAGAGTATGCTGGATACCAAGAGTCCTCCTATAGGGCGTTGCATTGGTGTGGAGTTAATGAGCCTTTTTAAATTGATATTTCAGATTACCACCAGCTTGAATAAGAAATCTTAATTTCATGCACTTTTCTATCCAAATCTATACCTGAAATAACCAGAGCTATTTACATAAAAAAAAAAAAAAAACCATTGCTTTTTGTACATCAAATAAAAACACCACAATGCAATTTAAGACGATACATCAACAACCTCCGCAAACCATTGCTTCAACGCCGTAGCTAACACAGCTGGTAGTTCTCGAACATCACGCACAACAAGATAATAAGGGAATGGGAATCCCTCTATATACCTCTTCATCTTCAACTTCATTTCTCCAGTACCGCTTTCCAGATCAGGTTCAAAGCTAGCCTGGGTAAGATCGAGAATGGAGCTTCCCTTCACCGCGTCCACAATAATGAATACAATCATGATTCGTTCTTCTTGGGCCTGGCGCACAAGCCGGCTGATTGTCTCATGGTCTTCACAGATACCATCTGATATGATCAGCTCGAGCTGCCAAAGATCAGCGCCGCCGCCTGCAGGGGACTGCTTCCAGCGAGCTTCTCGGAACAGGGCAATGGAGTCCGCAATCAGTTTGCGGACGTTAGTGCCGGTTTGTTGATAACTGAAATGCTGGAATACTTGAACACCAGCGTCAGAGGAGAACGGCTTGCCAAATTCGTGCGCGACTCTAACATGCTCCTCACTTCCAAATCCGAGAACACAGAGATCCCCGACTTCGAGCATACTAAGACTCTTGGCTACCAGGGCGAGGGTCTCGAATGCCAACTGCCCGCTGCCACTCTCAAGCATCGACTTGCTATCGTCAACGGCAAGCATAATTTGATAGTTGCGTTTGGAAGGAATCGATCGGCGCATCCAGATCTTGTCGCGCTTATACTGGGAGGCGATGTATGGAATGATCCGTTTAATGTTGAGTCGCTTTCCTGTGCGGAAATCACCTCGCAGCTTTGTTGCCAGCGTGGGCGCTAGGATTAAGCGGAGCTGCTCAGTCAACGAGAGTGAAAGATCATTGGTGGCCGATTCGTACTTTGACCAGAGGCGTTGAGCTTCACCCCTTTCAGTCAGAGGAGGGAGAGTCGATGAAAGATGGATTGCGGCCAGATGTGCATCGACTTCATCCAGCTCCTCATCCTCCGCTTGCTGAACTGCTTCAGTCGAGCGTTGTTGGGTGTGCGAGTCCCCCGGAATGAGAGCTCCAGCCTTTTGTTCTTCAGCAGGAGTGCCCTCTTGGTCTACTTGCATTTCGTCTTCCAGTTTGTTATCCAGCAGATCTTGAGGTTCATCAGACGCGTCTGGCAACATTTCTTGATCGCCTGGTTTAACATCTGACTCGACCCCCTTATTCTGATCAAGGCCTTGGGCTTGGTCTTCGTTAGCCTGGCCAAGTGCCTGAGTATCAGCAACATCGTCTTGATCCGCGAGATGTTCGAAATCAGCGTCACCCATTTCAGTATCTTTGGGTAGTGGCTCGTCCTGCTCTCCATCCTCCTGCTTTGACGCGTCCATGATTTCCTTTTGCCTACGGTGCCATTGCTCGAGAACGTCACCAAGCTTCTTGAACGCCTGCAACTGAGGATCTTCTGGGTTGACATCGTTTGCGCCTCCTGCATCCCGATGTCTCTCGGTTTCTTCCCCATCTTTGGCAGCCCCCGTCTGCTGATTTGGCTCGGCAGAGGGATCCATTGAACCATCCTGCTGTTGTGCATTGCCCGATGCGCCCTTCTCCTGATTTTGATCCTGCTCGGCACCAAGTCCACCATTCACCGCTTCGCTAGGAGCCACTTCTTCTCCTGCTGCTTCATTATCGTCCCTTTGAGTGAGGAAATCGTCTGGTTGTTCTTCTTCGGCCTCTTCCCCGGGCTCCTTTGCCTCCTCGTCAGCCTCGGCCTCATTGGTCTTCTCATCCTCCCCATCCTCTCCAGTCGGATCTATTTCCTCTTCTTCTCCAGATTGCTCAGGTCCTCCCTCCTCGTCAAGGTTATCTTGTTGCATCTCATTTGTCTGCTCATCATCCATAGGGGCAAAGCCATTATCCGAGATATCGTCAAATCCGTCGTCGTCTTCAGGGCCTTCATCGTTATCCATTTCATCACCATCAAGCTGCATTTCTTCGGGCAGATCAAGAGTTTCTTGTTCTTTTGCGTGGGGATCTGTCACGTCCATATCCTCGCGACCGATGGCTTCACCCTCGTCTTCGGGTGCTTCTTCCTCTTCTTCCTCTTCGTCCTCTGCATCTTCTTCTTCGCCCTCTTTCTTCTCGTTCTCATCACCCTTTTCACCATTTTGCCGTTCTTGGGCTACTGCTTGCTGGTCAGACTCCGATACACCCTTTCCTTCCTCATTCTCGGTCTCTTTCTGGTCCTCGTCATGACTGCCATCCCACATTTTTTCATCAACTGCAGATGTGTCCAAGTCATTGACGCTGCCGACTTCCTCATCGATATCGCTGTCTTCCTCGTCGCCGCTTTCATCCTTGTCTTCTTCCTCTCCTTCCTGCTCACGAGACTCTCCTTGCAAATCCTCTTGATCCATATTTACCGCATCGGCAGAGGCATCCATATCATCTGCGGCATCTTCCTTCTGTTCCTGCTGTGCAAGCTCGGACAAGTCCTCATCGTCGCCCACATCTTTGCTGATATCCTCCGCGCCCTCACCATCACCCAAACCTGTTCCGCTTTCTAGATTTCCAGATTTGCCTTGTTCGGTAGATTCCTCATGTGGGCTGCAGAAACCTTCGGATGCAATTTGGACGAAAGACTTGCTTAGGATGTAAGACATCTTGCAGGTCTCTCTATGCACCGTGAGGAAGCGGTACACAAGATCTTGGCTGATTTGGGAGTATTTGTTCAGGATAGGCAGCAGACTGGTCATCAATGCCACTGCGAGAGGGATCCCGGAGTCGGAATGTTTGTGTACAGTCTGTAGTGTTTCTAAAACCGCATTCAGAGCTTTTGTGATGTCAGGGAGATGGACGGACTTCAGAGCCCTGGTGAAGAATTCATCGCTTCGAGACAATGACCCGGTGAAGGTAATAATGGCTGGGACCTCCTTCAACTTCTGAAGGCTAACGAGAATCTTGTCAACAGTTGCAGTGAGGCCGTTATCAAAGTCCTCGATGGCGAGAGGATGCACTTCCTGCTCAAGTTCACCTGATTCCATACTGACATTCAGCCAAGGAAGTAATTGGTCGAGAACAAATGTGAGGTCAGGACGCTCTTGGCCCCACTTAGAGATATCAGTATTCAACTGGTTGAGAGAAGACATAGCCTCGTCTAGAGTCTGTTTGTGGAGGCTAGACGTGACTCCATTAGGCAAGTCAGGTAAATTTTTGAAGGCTTTCCTTAGGCGATCGAAATTCTCTTTCCAGAGTTGCAGTCCTTTGCAGATATCCATTGAGTCGATACCGGAGAACTTGGAATGCAGTTCAATGACAGTTGCGGCCAGCCCAAGAGTTGGGACTAACCAGGAGCTTGCTGTCATTGCACCCCGTCGACCAGCCAAAAGCTGTGAGCTTGACTTGACGATAGAAGTGGCTCCGCATTTCCAGAGGTTGGTTATCTTGGCAAGTATCGATTGCAGCGACATCAAATCAGACAATGCGGGAGAAATGGCCGTTCTCTGCTTTCTGACCAGGAACAGCAAATGCTCGACTGACCCTGCACTTCTTGACACCTCCACATTACTGAGATCTTCAGAGTAGTTATGCGAGGCTTGGCGGACACGCGGAAGCAGGTCCAAAAACCTATGGAAATAGATATCACAGTTTCCAATCAGTGGGCTTAGTGCAGTGTTAGCTACAAGAGCTGGACTAGTCGCAAGAACCTGAGCAACAGATGCCTGAGATTCTGTCAGATTTGTGCTAGCATTTCGCTTGACCCCCATTTCAAATAATTGCTTCAGGGTTTCCGCGTAGAAACGGCGTTTCTGAGCCTTGAGATGTTGCACGTTTGACTTATTCTCTTCAGTGAGGATTTTTGGTGTCTGTGATCTAAACTCTTTGATGCTCTCAATGAAGAATTGCACAAAACCACTCAAGTCTTCTGCAATATCGAAATCGGTGGAAATGGACGCATACATATGCATCATATTGCTCGTAGTTCCGTCCGGGTTCCTAAATCTAGGAGGACGGTTGGACCAGATTTGTCCATCCTTTTCACATAAGGCAAGGGCTTCGGGAATACTTGTACAAGGGGTGGTCGTATCATTTCCAGCAGGGTTCGAATCTTCCTCTTTTTCAGGCATGTCTTGACTGAGAATTTGTTGCGCGGGTTCAGCCAAAATTGCACGATATTTGCGAACGAGTTTGAACAATTTCACATGGGAACGGCGGGCGCTCTCTTTCAGTGCGACAATGTTAGTGTCCTTCCAGCTGGCCAGCTGTATCTGGTCCTTTATATCTTTCTCCAGCGCAGAGCGTCTCTCAGTTAAAAGTTTGCAGACCAAGGGTTCAAACTGGCTGTGATGTTGCATGAAGTTGTCTAGTGCGGATACAAGTTGTTTGAGGGCTGGGAAGTCTTGAACGTAGAGAAATAGAAGAGAGCGGAAGTTTTTAATCAACCGAAGGCGCTCACTGTACTGGCCTACAGTAGTTGACTGGAAGAATTGCTCCAATGTAGCAATAACGTCTCGAACATGATCGCCAAGATCTTCTTCTCCGGCCTCCGCGATTTGGATCGGTGCACGAATAAGGGCCTCAAAAGCGATGAACCACCACGAGCTCACATCTCGGTCACACTTCTCTTTCTCAAGGTCCAGGAGTTTGGCCCAGGTTGACAGCTCGAGTCGGCGCCATGATATGATCATATTCGTGATTTCATCATAGAACGAAGCAGCTGAGTACTCCCGACTTGCTACAAGCTGCCATTCGTGAACGAGCGAATGAAGCTTTTCCAATTTTGTGAGGAACTTTGCCACAGGCTCCGTGTGCTTGAATTGATAAATCTCTTTGCAATAGAGAATGACGTCTGCCGGAACTGCATGATCAGGCCAGGCCTTCTGTATCTGAGCAAACCGGGATTGCACAGAGCGGGTTAAGGACAGAAGCTTTTTAGCTTCTGTCAGGTTTTGGTCTGTGTAGAAGTTGTAGTTTTTGCCACTGCCGGTTGATTGCCCGTCGAGGTCATCCTTGAGAAGCAAGAAGATGCTAGACATCTGCTCCTTAGGATGTACTTGGGACGAGAATAATTTGTTCTCCGACCATAATGATCCTACGAATAAAGCAGAGCTCTTGACATATTCTGAAAAAACTCGTCCGCGGTCCTCAAATTCGAAAAGCTTGGCATGGAGTGCTGCAAGACGTACAGAGATGGCTTTCGGGTCAATCTTGTCTGCATGGGTGGCTTCTTCATCGCTGCCATCGTCGTATGTCGGGAAGAGCTCATGTAGTTCGTTTTCGTCAACTTCTTCACTGTCTTCCCAAGAACCCTTATAATGATACAATTCGTTCTTGCGGGCTTCTTCCTCCTGGTCGTCCTTAAGTTTTGCCTTCCATAACAAATGGAAATGTTCGACTATTCGGCGCAGAGACTCACGGCCGCCTTTGGTGTAAAGCACTCCGGGCTCTATGTTCTCCGCCACCTTGAGGGAAGACAGTTCATGGAACATTAGCTCTAATGCGTGTTTCGAATTCGAGCCCATGAGTTCTTCTTCCGGTACTGAAGGGGCCTGAACAAAACCTCCAAGGAACGGCGTACGTCCGCAGATAGTTCGGATGCATACCACATCATTTGTTTCACTGAAGGAGGCAGTGCCCATTGAAAGACCAAGGTCTAGAAGCTGCAGGAAATGAACTACAAGAATAGTGATATCGTCGTAGGATCTGTAGTTCGTGCTCAAACGTCGACTTAGTTGGTGAATATTATCACGCAATAAATTCCTCATACGTTCGTTTTCCGGACTGTTTTCTGTTGCGTTAATCAGCTTTTCGGGATTCCTCTCAAGTACTGATTTGATCAGACTCGAGAACTCTCCATGGAGAATTCCGATTTCAGAGGATGCTGGGCGGGTGACGGAAGACGGTGGAGGAGCTGAACCCAAGCTTCGCAATTCTTGCTGTACAAGCTCCTTCCGTGTATTCGTGGACTTTCCAGAGAATCCTTCTTCGAACGATGAGAGAGCATTCGCCTTAGATGTAAGCTCCGTCACACGCTCATCATAACGTTTTCTCTGCACCACCAGACGTAATGATGGATCAAATGGCTTGTCGGGGACAAAAAGCCACAAAAGGGTAACAGCAAACTGGACGAGAGCACTAGCTATTTGTTCAGTAGCCACCCTCCCATGCACCGGTGTTGTCACCAATGTTGTAATAAGCTCTGGGAGCGCTTTATCTGCAATAACTCTGAAGTAATGGTTATCGGGCAATCCATCTATGAGGCGGATGTTTGGCACGGAGATGTTAGCTGGCACATTTTGCCCTCCAATCGCGGGGAGGAAATTAATCAGTTGCTCAAAAGTAGCCGGATCGAAAAAGGCTTGGTGAGTTTGTACAAGCTCAACAGCAAGTTTCAGTAGCATTTGTCGAAGGAGCTTTAGCTGATCCATAGAAATTTCCTGACTCGTCAAAGATAGCGCTCGAGAAAGCGTTTGCTTCTCTTCCTCCAACGCGTCCATTTGTCCCAGACTTGCTCGGTTCACGAAGGCTAATTTGTACAACAATGACAAAGACAGTGTACCATTAACGGCAGTGCCAGTACCCGAGGCTCGTTGGAATCCCGAGAACAGCGAAAGTCTGTTGAGGATATCAGGAACGCGACTTTGCAAGTTTGACCCGTTTAAAGGTTTTGCGGGACGCCCAGCCAATAAAGCTGATAGGGATTGAATGGCGTATTTGGAACTTCTGGTGTTTTGAGGGGATACAATATCGTGATATTGGCACAATACTTCGAATTCGTTGGAGAAGTAAGGGCTTTGGGTGAGGTCGGATTCTTGCACAGAACCCGCCAGTTCGACTACAGTTTGTTTGATGCCCTGGAAAAAGTAAGCATATAATACATCATAAGATAATATAAAAAATCAAGCCAACTTACCTGGACAAGCTCATCCCCATTCGCACCATCCAAAAGTATGTGTCTTTGAGCATCGACCAAAGAGCTGCGTAATTGGCTCAGCTGAGACAGGTTCAAACGCGTTTTAGTCGCGATTTGCATGAACTCGAATGCGACCTTCTCCAGATCCAATAAACATTTCAACTGATTCTGAGTCGCTGCAGTTGCTGGTCTCCATGACTCCCACAACTGTTGCATACCAAGACCTGTTGTGAGGGCCCAGTTCTCCTGGAACCGGTCTAGGGCTTGACATAAAGCAAAAGCCAGTGGCTGGAAAACACTACTCGAATCCAGGAGGGAGGAGCATAGCTCCCTGCCCAGTTGGAGATATATTTGAAATTCTCCCTGATCCAGTTCAGTAGCCGCAGTGATCCTTAGAATATCCGCGCAAAAACTAATAACTTCACGAAGAGAAGGCACTAGATCAACAGCTTGAATGTTTTCGTCATTCAGCTGCTGGATGAAATCATAGACGGCCTGCCCGCAGTCAGATATGAAGGCGGCAACCGGTTGGGTGGAATCCTTCATCAACGAGGGTATGCGCCCTGACGCCAGAGAACGCTCCAAGCGGCTCATTTGACTTGGTTTAAGGAGTTTGGCGGATGAATCTGCATTTAACAAAGCTTGTTTAATACGATGGAGATCGAGCTTAGACTCTTGCAGCTGAGCTAACATTATAATGAAATTCAACGGCACGTGCTGGCCGAGCACCAAAGCGAGTGGCTCATTGACTAGAGGATGCAGAGGTTGTAGGTGGCCCTGGATGTTGAATGAAGCGCCCCCTAACTCGATGGTCTTCTGAATGTGGCGGAAAGGCTGGAAGGACTGATTATCGTGTATTACGGATGCATACCGATCCATCGTTCTGGAAAATTGGTCTGGGAAATCTGAAGCGTACGGCGAAACCAGATGCTGTGACCGTTGGAGGTACGCCAAGTCTGCAACCGAAAGATGGTCCACGCGAGCCTCCAAAGACTCTGACGGCTCTCCGAAAGCAATGGAAGAACCAGTATCCCAAAGTGACCGAAGGCGGTACAAAGAAGACTGGCAGGTGTAAGATGGCATAAGGGGGCTTTCAAAAGTGCTGTCTTCCTGGGGCAAGAAGCATATCTCCACACAGCGATTCCGCATGGCGCGAGATAACTCTCCGTTGCGAGGATCCATCGTGAAGAAAAGCCTGAAGTTTGGATGTGGCCGAATAACCCTCGCATTCCCATCCTCAGTGCGCTGCTCATTAAGAATCAGCTCTCCATTCGGCTCGGTCAATGAGTTGAGCCTGTCAAGAACGGATGGGTTACACAAATTGGCATTATCGAGAATAACCCAATCCCCACTCTGGACAGCCTGGGTCAGAACACCTTCAGTCCACTCAAAACCGACTTTGATATGTTCCGACTGCTTTATAGCCTTCAGCAGGGCCTGTGCGCGCGTGAGCAGTTTCTCGAGGTTATTATGGGGATAGTGCTGATAAATTCTTTCCAAAGATGTACATATTATGTCAACAGATACATCTGAGCCCTGTAATTGCTCATAGAGCTCGAGGAAGAAAGAAATTTCTTTAGGAGTGCCATCCAGTGGGTAGGCAGATATGAAATGTTGTCGAACAAACAAGGAAGCGTCGTAGACAAGAGAGGAGACTTCTCTATTGTGGTCAATTTGTTCAAAACCTCCCACTAAGTCCATCGTATCAGTATCAGCGCTCAGCGCCAATTCAACTAAATTCGCCCCGTTGATTGCTGCGAGCTTCCTTATCAGGGTTGTTTTGCCACAACCGGACGCACCAACCAAGATGCTAGGCCATGCCTGTTCGATGCAAAGCATTAATGACTCCAAAATTGGGAGGTCTCTAGGAAGTATCTTGATGTGCGGTATATGCATATGTTGAAGTATCAAGTCCCTGCGCATAACTCCAAGCCCTACTTGCATGTACTCCGGCGTCATGTTGTGGTAGTAGCTTTTGGTGATTACCGGAACATCCCTAAAGACTCGTTGATAGATTTGGCAAACTCTGTCTCTGTCCTCTTGGCATCTAAACCGTTGAGAGATGATGATATCAAGGAAATCCTTCGTATTTATCTGCAAGGTCCCCCGATCTGCTAGCTGAAGCCATCTTTGGATATCGCGTAGATTGACCTCCCAAGGGCCGCCGAGGACGCCAAGCTTCCGGTCTTGGGTAATTGCCACATTCAACAGAGAGACGAAGTCAACAAGCCGTTCGGTCTGCAGAGAGGGGCTTCCGGGGAAAAGTTTTGCACATATACGCTTTAAGTCAGTGTCAGTAAAACTGTCAGCATATACCACCGTAAACCGATTGACGAATGATGCAGGAAGACCCTTTCGTCCTCCTCCCTGGTGATGAGGGTTTTGTGCAGCAAACAGGGCAAAGTCGGGATGCCGTTTAAATGTTTGGTCAAGTTCCGCAACATAGACCATCTGTCGGTGATCTAAACAAGCGTTCAGACCCTCAAGGACGGACTGAGAGGCTAGATTCATTTCGTCCAACAGAACCCAATCACCCCGTTGCATTGCTTGGAGGAAAGGAGCATCGCGCCAAGTAAACTGGCCAACATCACCCCCTTCCACAGGTACATCGGATCCAAATAGATCCGTGAGATCTGTTTGTTCTGATAGATTGATTCGCGTAAGGGGCTTGCCGAGGGCTTTAGCAATAGCAGTCACTAGTGTAGTCTTCCCAACACCTGGGCTACCTTCAAGGAGGATAGGCTTCGATAATTGTAGACCGCGAGCAATCCGCACTGAGTTAGCGATTGTTGTAGGAGCATCCATAATAAACTGAGTATTAGGCTGGGTATCCCCATTCATTGCAAGTTGAAAAGGCCCAACGCACAAGAACCCGCCTTCAGTATTGATGACTGACTTTTGCAAGTAAATGCTAGAAGCATCTACATGAAATAGCTCATGGAGTTTATCCAGGCACAGTTGACGATTGCCCTTGAGATTGTGTAATGTTGTTGCTAGCATTGCTGCAGGGTTGGCTCCCAATGTGTCGATGAAGACCATAGCAGCGCCCTGCACCACAGCAAACATAGGGTCAGAGCCGTGGCATTTGTTAACAAATTCAACCCAGCCTAAGAGATCACGAATAGATAGAGAGTTGGTGGAAGAATTCTGGAAAATTTGCTTGAACCATTTCGCGAATTGCAGCATCGCCTGAGGGATGTGCTTTAACTCTGGCTGGAGTTTCGTCCGGAGAATAGGAAGAATGTCCTCGTCCTCGGACAGCTGAGGGGCCCAAATTTCAGTCATTCGATTTCGCAGAGCGGCAGAAAGCTCACGTTTGCCATAGTCTCCTCCAGGATTCATTGTAGAGAGGAACTGAAAACCGCTGTCCGCTACAACCATGGAGTTGATTGGGCCTTTTTCTGCCAAAAGTATCGACCTATGAGGCTCTAGGACACTATTAAGTCGCTCCAACACCGAGTCATCGGCAAGAGAAATTTCATCCAGAAGGAAGAACTGCCCTGTTTTCATAGCAGTGATCAAGCTCCCATCTGTCCATTCAAATAGAGCATTTAAACGCGTGGTGTTTTTCTCAATTCTTTGAATCAATTCGGGGCTCGATGCTTGCCGCTGATCGGGGGTAAGGCTATGAAAGCTTTGCTTTAGCTCCTCAAGAGTCTTTGAATCTCCGCCAGATTCTCGTAGTACTGTTCTTAGATCCTCGAGCAACATATCTTCAAGGGCAGCTCTATTCCGCACAGGCCGTTGAGCACCTATAAGGTCTCCAGTCTCCAGGTTAACATGTGCGTTCACGATGAATAGTTGCTTCCGGTAGACATCTGAAACCGCTTGACAAAGCTGGGTCTTTCCACAACCTGTTTCTCCTACAAGTAGAACAGGCTCGTTGTTTTCGAGTGCCGTTGAAACTAAAATGAAAAGCCTTCTCATCGCCCTTGTCCAAACAATCCCAGGAGCGAGCTGTCTTAGATTCGGCGCACGTCTGTCCATTTCAGAAATGCCGTAGATGCTGTCTTCATCGATGGATACCTTCATAACCTCTTCAATCACACCCTTCACCGCGGCTCTCTCCTGTGGGTTCCGCACTCTTTCTGCGAGGAGCATAAATCCGTTGATTGCCAGCTGCTCCCGATCATCAGCTCGTCGAAGAGCCCATCGAAACAGATCACGCAAAGTAGCGAAGCTGTTTTTCTGCTCAAACAGTCTGTTCGATTGTCGTAATAGGGAGAGTTTTCGGTAGACAGACACTATTCTAGTACAGAAAGAAGGGGCTATTTGCGATCTCTCTTTGAGAATAAATTCAAGCTCGCTTTCCGGGATATCATCAAAGTGGAGCTCCAGGAAACGATTCCGAAAAGCACGAGATAGAACTTTTCGGCCTCCATACAAGCCAGCAGGATTTTGAGTTGCAAACAGCATGAAATTCGGATGTGGGCGAACCACCTCTTGGGTTTCTGGGATAAACAATTCACGGTTATCGTCTAGCAGTCGATTTAGGGCTTCTAAAACATCTGACGGTGCCAGGTTTAGTTCGTCCAGAACAATCCAATATCCGTTTCGCAACGCCTCTACCAGTATCCCCTCTTGGTAACGAAGAGTTCCATCATCATCAGATACGTAAGACCCCAAATATTCTTGAAGGTCAGTATGCTCATGGTTGTTGATACGAACGAATTTGTTTCCAGAGACCTTTGCAAGGTATTCAATCATGCTTGTTTTTCCTGCGGAAGTTGGGCCTTGAAGCAAAACTGGGAATCGGCGAGTCGAACTTGCTCTCACAAGATTCCTGAGATTCTTCTCGATGAAGGGTGTTATGATATAATGGGGTTGCTCCTCAGGAACTAAATGACCCTTGCGCATCCAGTAATGTTTAAACTGCACATAATCACTACCGTCGGTTGGAGGCTTAGGTGTCTGTCCAAGCAGTGCCCGGATGTTCTTCACATTGCTTAGGATGTGCCTCTCGAGCAATGGTATTAGGATTCTCTCCGATTCCCGACTTAAGACTGTTAAGAAACTCATAGAAAATCCCTCAAACATTGCTCGACGTAGTCCGTATATGTGGGCATGGTCAGCCGCATAGATCAGCGCACGGACAAGTGTTCTTATGCTAAAGTGCGGGCGTTGTCCGGCACCATCTGTGAGCTTGTTCTCGTTGCTGAGTTTCTTCGTTTCCATATACAGTTGCGCAAGATCCGGCACAGCCCTGGAGTCACTTAGGATCAAGTCTCCTAGGTACTTCCTAATCAACGACAGCAAATCGTCCAATTCGGTATCTGGTGAGTGCACATATAGTTCAGTAAATCGGGAGCGAAGACCCGGGGGGAGGTCCTTTTTCCCAGCATCGGTGGCGGGATTCATGGCACCAAATATGCGGAAATCCGGGTGGCCAAAGACACGTTCCACCTCGCCTGCTTCGGAAAGGAGAACAGAGGGCGATCCTTCGCTCCCATGATGTAGAAGACTCGCTATATTTTCAAGAGTATCAGGCGAGGCTAGGTTGATTTCATCGAGAAGAACCCATTCGCCGTTCCGTAGTGCTCGGACTATCTTACCCTGAACAAAGGCAAATGCGAATTTCGCATCGCCCTGAGATACCTGGGCTTCAAAATCATGCAACTGTGCAGCAAATCTTTCCCACCTTTGTCGCAGGTACTGATACTTTGGGGAGTCCAGCTTTCTTTTCTTGGAGGGTTGCTCTCCTTCATCTCCCTTGGAAGAACCATTGGTGGATTTAAAAACACCTTCAGCTAACCGAACAGCTTCATGCCAGTGATTGACTAGGCGCACCCAGTTACCATTAGCGACACTCTTGGCTACTGATGACAGGAATTTTAGGTTTTTCTTCGCCGAGAATGTCAACTCGAACAATGAATTGAACTCGTCAAACATTGGGATAGCCATTGTGCGGATATTGACAGGTTTGAATCCGCCCAGCAAGTCAGTGCTTTCGCTTTGCTGCGACAAATTGACGACAGTGAGTTTCTGCCGCATTAACGTCGCCAGCTGCTGGATTACGGTGGTCTTGCCGATACCCGTTTCTCCAACAAGGAGCACGGGTTCCGCCATTTGAGCAGCTGCAGCGACTTGCTCCATTAACTTCAAGGCAGCCCTTGTCGTAGCAAAACGAGAGGATGCGGCCGTCAGCTTCATGGCCGAACCAGCTGGGATCTTGATTTTGCGGCAAGTTTCCCTTCCAAGGGTCAAACTGTTACCATGGTCGAGAATTGCAGGTGTTCGTTCGCGGAGGGAAAACTGCGCACGCTGCGGCGAAATCTGAAGTGCTTCTGCAACAACCAAAGCGAGCGAATCCGCCAAAGTACTTTCGGGGAGATATCTAAGAAACACGTCCACAATATCCAAAAAGATTTCATCTTCAGTGCTTTCAGGAGTAGCTTCGTAGCCTGTCTTTATCCCTAGTCGTTGAAGCCGCTGGTGCATTCTGCTGCAAACCTTGATTAGGTCTCTCAAACCTGGGGTTCGACCTTGGGAGCTCTTGATTGCGAGACTTCCATGAAAGGAAGAACAAAGTCTCTGGTAGACGTTTATAATAGTTGGAACACGAGACTGGAGCAGTGGAAACGTATGCGCAATCACTTCCTCAACCTCGTCTATCATGAGCGAGTCTATCTGTACTCTTTGCCAGAGTCTGCTCCCAAGGATAGTCGTACTCGGTGCCACTTCTTCTCCTGCGATATTGTAGGAAGACTTCATCGTTGCGATTATCTTAAACCCCTCAGCACATTTAATTCGCTCTCGCCGACTCGCGATAGTTAACTCCCCTTTTTCGATAATTGGCAGGATAAGGCCAATAACTTCCGAGGGGGCCCGATCTAAGTCCTCGATTAAAATCCACCGACCTTCTCTTGCAGCCTTTGTCAAAACACCCGGCTGCCAGGAAAAGCTTCCCGTATTCGGAGATGTTGAATACATGCCAAGAAGACTTTTAGCGTCCGTCTGTTCGTTCAAGTGAAGTGTTACCATGGATTCCGACTGTCCCATGATCGCTGCGGCATCATTAATCAAGGACGTCTTTCCCGAGTTCGGCAAACCGACAAGTAGAATGGGTTTGGATGTAATCAAAGCGGATGCTATCCGTCGCAAGTTTTCCACAGCCGTGGGCGTTTTCACAATTGAGGAGGGCGAGAGCGAAGCATCATTCTGTCGTGGAATCAACACGCCGCAAACATCAGCGGTTCGAACAGTGAAATAATCCCGCAGTTCCCCTATTTGTTCCAGGCTCTCGGAAAGTATCCGTGTAGCCCTCCCGGTCTGGAGCTGCTTCTCTATAGCATCCCATCGACGCTCTTCCCATAACCCAAGGCAACGGTAATCAATGGTGATCCCCTCCCATTCTCCCTCAATCAAATCATCTGCACAGTGTGTCCATGTAATCCTGTCCGTAGCAGAATCGGCTGCGCGCATATATAAAGAGAAACATCGTATCGCTAGGTATCTTACGGATAGATCGCGGTGTCGAAACAGGGTTTGCAGCTGTGATGGAGCAATTGCGGGCGAGAAGGTCTCTAGATCAAACGAGAGCAGCCGGAAAATAGCTAGGAGCAAGTTGCGGATCGTAGAATCGTCTATTTGCAAAAGAGTCAATTCATTAGACGCAGCCAAAGCCGATAGAGGTCCAGCCCGAGACATGGCATATTGGCTTGCGAAAGATCGTAGATGCGGTGCCAGTGGCAAGATGCGTGAAAATGCGGAGATAACTTCTACATGGTCGACACTGGTCTCTGGAAGAATCCATCGTGCAGCTAGGTCCACAAAAATCGGTTCGTATATGTAGAAAAACTTCTCAGTGTACCCTTTTCTCGACGCGCCAACCGCAAGCGCATTCAGGTACTGTGTCCCAGAAGCTGTGCGAATGAGGGCCGCAATCTCATTCGGAAGCTGTTCAAGGAGTTGGGACTCATTAAAGGTCCCCTCGTAGGCAGGTTTGGCATCCATGCTGAACCCTGCCGCCAATGGAACTCCTTCGATGAATGAATGAAAGACGAAAAACCCGTCGTGACTTTTGCCCGCACCAACTTTTTTTTTCGCTATCTTTTTTCTGCCGGCATATTGTGGCACGTTCCCCCACAACTCTTTTCACCGCCCTTATCTAAGCACGGAGCTTTGCGCCACACCCCGATGGTTATACTCGCTGGAGATGGGATCTGGGTCTGAATGATAACTGGTTCAGGAACCACGGCCATGGTCACCTTTTTCTGTGACTTGACATTTCCGTATGATTCGCCATGCCAATGATGCAACCTGGGTCAGAATCTGAATCCCAGTCACCTTCTCCCGAGTCATGGAACAACACCAGCCGGTTCCCGCGTCATCGCGGTAGCCTTTCACGACAAGCGCAAGAACCAACCGAGCCTATGACCGGCAGTCTTCGGGAACCGTAAGTTATATATGCCATGAGACTATTGACCAAGCTCTAATCCCCGTCTTTCTAAAAGAATCTCCTTTAAACGGAAGCATAAACAACGTTCAGGGTTCAGTCTATCCAACATCTTCTCGAGTGACTCCTCTCGTAATGGGAGTTTTGGCCCTTCTACGTTGCGCAATGGGCAGGGCCCACAGGGCAGACCGCGAGCGAGAAGTGAGGTGATCCGAGGTCATGGAAATCTAAACGTACCGAAAGAAGGCGGCCTGCTGGATTGGTATGTGGAAGGCCCAGGGCGTCGGGTAGGCTACGACGATTTTACAGCCATCGATTGGATTTTTGAATACACAAAAGAACGTCAAAGAAAGAGGGTATTGTCTGCTAGTGGACAAGGCATTTTTGGTTATGCACGCAAGCTTCTCGATGCTAGTAATGTTTGGTTAGTCCTGATCGCTACGGGAATATCAGTTGGAATCATCGCGGCTTTCATTGATATTGTAAGCGACTGGCTAGGCGATATCAAGACTGGATATTGCAAGAACGGTCAGGGGGGAGGGAAATTTTATTTGAACCGAAGCTTTTGTTGTTGGGGCCATGAAGAAGGTATGCGCTGCCCTTGGTTAGAGCTAGTGGTATACGGGTCGCGATACTAATTTGTTCATCAAAGATCCCTCTCATTGCTTGGACTGGACGCCGTGGGGGAAGGCTCTGGGAGCTAATTCTTCTGGCGGGGTCTTCGCCGTGGAATATATCTTTTATATCCTTTTCTCCGTCAGTTCCCCTACTTTCTCATTTATTCGGTTTCGTCCCTCTAATCCCAGGATCAGGTTTTGTTTGCTGTATGTGCATGCATATTAGTTAGGAACTATGCCATCTATGCTCGGCATAGTGGAATTCCTGAAATCAAAACGGTCCTAGGCGGCTTTGTGATAAGGCACTTTATGGGGCCCTGGACACTTGCGATTAAGTCACTCGGCCTGGTAAGTTATCCATTAATTGCACAAATGATCTACATCTAACTCCCCAACCGTGTCTATCCGTTGCATCTGGTATGTGGCTGGGTAAGGAAGGCCCGCTAGTCCATGTTGCTTGTTGCTGCGCAAGCGTGATCATGAAGGCATTTGACAGTCTCAATAGTAACGAAGGTACTTATTACTCAGTGGTCCCTTCCTATTTCGCGGCCTTCACTAATTTCGTACCTAAGCGAGGAAACGGGAGGTTCTTTCCGCTGCGGCCGCCGCTGGAATATCTGTTGCATTTGGCGCACCAATTGGAGGTGTTTTGTTTAGCTTGGAGGTATATATTGTCATATTAGTCTTTTGTGCTGGGCTGACATGAGTACTTTCTAGCAACTCTCATATTATTTCCCTGACAAAGCAATGTGGCAGAGCTTTGTGTGTGCAATGGTAGCAGCTGTCACTTTGCAGGCGCTTAATCCCTTCCGCACAGGAAATATTGTCCTCTACGAGGTCAAGTACACTCGTGGATGGCATCGTTTTGAGATGATTCCCTTTATAACACTTGGTATTGTAGGAGGTCTTTACGGGGCATTTCTCATTCGCTTGAATATGAGAGTTACAAGGTGGAGGCGATCTCGGAGCTTCTCCCAGCCAGTCTTAGAAGTTGTGCTTGTTGCCCTTCTAAGTGCCTTGATAAACTTCCCGAGCCTCTTTATGAGGGCACAAAACTCCGAACTTGTCCATTCCCTCTTTGCTGAATGCGGCTCCGCAACCCCTGACCCTTTCGGCCTCTGCAAAACGGGGGCCGCTTCGGCCACTACAGTAGCTTTATTGCTAGTAGCTGCGCTTCTTGGCTTTTTGCTCGCGTCAGTAACCTTTGGATTGGATATTCCTGCCGGTATTATCCTTCCCTCCTTTGCAATTGGCGCTTGTTATGGCCGCGCGTTGGGCACAGCTTTCAAAATGTGGCAGGATGCATATCCGAACTTTTTCCTATTTGGAAACTGCGAACCAGATATTCCTTGTGTGACTCCGGGGCTCTATGCAATCATTGGTGCAGCTTCTGCCCTTGGCGGCGCTACACGAATGACGGTATCCATTGTGGTTATTATGTTTGAGCTAACGGGTGCTTTGACCTACGTTATTCCCATTATGATCGCCGTGATGCTGTCGAAATGGTGCGGCGATATTTTTGGAAAGCGCGGCATCTATGAGTCGTGGATCCATCTAAATGAATACCCGTTCCTCGACCACCGTGATGACACTGCTCCTCCTGATGTGCCCGCCCACACCGTTATGACTAAGGTAGACGATATTACTGTCATTACCGCCGTTGGTCATACAATCGGCTCGTTGCGCAACCTGCTTCAGACTACTTCATACCGGGGATTTCCTGTCGTTAGCGGCACTTCGATCCCCGTTCTTCTCGGTTACATTTCGCGTAGCGAACTTTCTTTCGCTTTGAAATCCCCGACATCGCCTTCAGACCAAGAGCTGTCTAATACCACCCAGGTCTTCTTTACACACCAACCATTCGCGGACCCAATGGACACGCTAGACCTCCGGCCTTGGATGGATCAAACACCTATCACTCTGAATAGCGGTACGACGTTTCTCATTGTGCTACGAATGTTCCAAAGACTTGGCCTCCGCTATGTGTTATTTTCGGACAAGGGTGTTCTCCAGGGACTGTTAACGAAGAAAGACGTTTGGTCTGTTGTCAACGACCCTGCGTCCTATAGAAGTGATTGGTCTAGAGAAGATCCTTTCCATGAAGGACAAGCGTCCGAAGAAGTCGGGCTTCTTGAAGATGACGATGCAACAAGCCTTGTTAGTCCAATTGAGAGGGGCCAGACACTTTAGTGCACCCAATATAACGGTGTATTAGATGAGTTCATCTTCCTAGCAGACAACACTGGGATTGCTGCAGTCTTTTTTGGATCTATGGTATTACATTTGCTCGAATCTGTTCTTTTTGTTTACTTTTGGTTAGAATCGGCGTACTTTCATGTGATGATATTTCTTAACTTTTCAAATGTTTAGACGTTATCTACTAATATGCACATTTACCAGAGTGTGATATCTACACATCTATAGAATATGACCTGGCATTTCGTCCCTTCAAACCAAATAATCCACCCCCTCGGCCTGCACTTTTGGTATTTTGCGTCGCTCTATCCCATCCTGAATGAAGCAGTAACAAGAAGACATTGAGAGAAGTGTCGCCTAGAACCTTGTTCCACTGACATTCTTTACGCCTTGGTCAAGCTGGCTTGCAATCACAGTTGCTTCTCTCACAGGTCCGCAAGACCGCCTCGAACTGTGTTGTCCTCTAACACAAGCAGTCCCCCAACCGTGCAACTCCGAAATCTTCTCTTTAATTTGGGCCGGTTGCTCCCCGCTTAGTCCCATCGCAGATGCGCCTCAGATTGTCACAGTAGCTCTAATCAATGGACTGTGTTAGGGTTACCACAGGTTTATTCGCGGTTGTGGAGGAGCTGCTATCCTGTACTTCAGAGAGGGATACAAGGATACCACATCGAATTGCCGGACATAATGAGGAACACCCTCTTCAGTATGAATTGCCTCATACCACACAGTCCAGAAATGAAATAGGTATTGCCCGTTCGGCTGCCGCGAAGACTTGGTCGCCAGATGTCATCTCAAACGAAGCAAAATTCGGAAAGCCTATGGGAGGTATTTCAGGTGATTTGAATAAACCCCTATGCAAATGCACTACGAAAGAAGAAAATATACAGACTCTTATTAAGAAAAGTACAAGTAACAGTTAACTGGGCCTTTGGGCAAGAGTACATATATATAGAATGCCGGCAGTCTTACCGCCCGCGTAGATGTCGACCCCACACTTTCTGCCCGCAGAATGCCTCACCGTCAGTTATGTATGTATTCTGCGGACCTCCAAAGATCTTCCAGTCTAGTCGCGAGTTGAGACATCCTCTATCATCTACTGTGAGGACCACCGTTCCATTAAAGGTCACAATGGCAGACCCCTTTGAAGTTCGCATGCGCTTTACAGCGCAGCTACAACATCTAAATGCATCCGTCACCTCATCTCAAAAGGCAGCGCACTATGCGCTCAAATACCGCGATATGGACGAGGATCTTCACTCGTGCATTTTAGAGCAGCTCGAGAGAGTGAGTACCTCAGGGCCCCCTCTTCCACGACAAAACATATATATGAGCAATGATCTAACGACACTCCTTTTCCTTGTTACGAGTAGAACAACATGAACAACAGAGCCAACATCCTCTACTTTATCGAGCAGTTCTGCGAAATGGCCACCAAAGAAGACCACCCTCCCTACGTCCGAATGATCCAGCGCGATATATTCCGGGTCGTCGATGCCGTAGCGCCAGCGGATGGCTCCGGGGCCGCAAATATCAAACACGTCCGGCGAGTTCTCAACGGCTTACACAGCAAAGAGATCCTCTCCGCGGAAACCGTCGCGGAGATCGATGCCGGGTTGAAAGACCGCGAGACGCACCCTGCACACCTGGATTTGGAAGCGGAGGAGGAGGACCCAGAGACAAGTGCGAAGTCGAAAACGGGGACACCGCGGGGGTCCCGCGTGAACGGGCTGCGCGTGGACAAGAGGCAAATCGAGCAACGAATCGAGGAAGACCGGGAACGGAACAAACGGCTCCGGGAGAGTATGTGGACTGTTAGTGGGGATGACGGGGACGAGCATGGCAAGTTCTGGGATGAGACGAGTGATATTGGGGAAGACGATTTTATGACTGCGAATGAAGAGCTCATGGAACGCAGCCAGATGGTTGGTGCTGCATAAGCTGCAGGGCCAGTGGCTATTATTGAGTTACAGAGTCAGGATGTTAATACGTCCTCCTCGGGTGCAAATATGATATTGAAACTGGGAATGGAGTTTGGGATATGGGCGAAGAAAAAGTATAGCGATCGGCGTCCGTGTTTTTCTATCCTTACATTATTATTGTTTGTTGAGATACCAGAATCTAATGTATGTACATCACCATATATATACTGATCATAGTACCAATCATGTCCTTTCTACTGTTACAAGTGAAACCAAAAAAAGAAGAAGAAAGAAAATTTTTCTCATACGCAAAAGAGTGCTTTTCAGCAATAGAGAGAAATGCTCAGCTCATGTGCTTGATCCCACTCTGATCCAGGAGCATATGATCCTACAGCCGTGTCAGAATTGAAATCGAGTGTGTAGTCAGTTCCACATAATTCGATCAGAAAATGACTTACAATGACCCAGGTGGGCATGAAAGTGGTCAAGAACCAAGAAATCGAGGCCATCTTTCCTTTCCATATCATCCCGCTGGCACCTCCAAGGACTTCATTCACAACGTTCTTTGCAAACTCCGCCGGAGAAGGAGCGTCTTTCACCCATACTCCGGTCGCCAAATCATTGATTTCTTTGGACGCTGCCCGGTACAAGGAATCCGAAGGAAGGTCAACTTTCGGGGTATTGGCAGTGATATTTGTGGCCACGGTGCCTGCCATGACCGTCACAACTTTAACACCTAACGGGGCCATTTCCAGGCGCAACGTTTCGCTATAAATCCTCAATGCGGCTTTGGAGGAGTTGTAGAAGACTATATCTCGTAAGCGCGATCCAGCACGTTTCAAGAGGAGTGGTACAGACTATTCCACGTCACATTAAGCAGGCTCGCTACGGAGGAAACATTGACAATGGATCCCTTCGCAGCAATCACCAAGGGAGAGAAAGCTTGAATGACAGCAACCGCGCCCCAGAAATTCACATCAAAGAGCTTCTTGGCTTCTTCAAGATCGGTGTCAATGGCAGGCATCACCAAACCCTGGCCTGAATTGTTCACTAGGTAGTCCAGCTTCCCGCCCGTTTTGGCAGTGACAGCCTCCACTGCAGCAGCGATATCAATCGGAGACTGCACGTCCAGTTTCAACAGCGTTACATGTGGGAAATTCTCGAGATGCGCCATCTTTGACGGAGAGCGCGCAGTCGCAAAGACGTGCAACCCGCGGTCATGAAACTCTTCCACAAGGGCAGACCCGATCCCGCCAGCACTGCAGCCGGTAATCAAAACCGATTTCAAGGACTTTTCACCCTCTTGAGACATAGTGTTACCTTGGGTCGGTCCAATAGAGGATAGGTATATCAATAATCAGCCGAACTGTTCCCAAGGGCAGAAATGATAGGTTCTATGGGATTCGATAGGAGATAGATGCAAGATAGATTCAATTCGGGATATATTAACTCAGACTAGCTCTCACTTGACCGAAGAGAAAATAAGAGAAGGGAGATGATTATGGGTAACTGTTTTACGAAGGTCCCTTTATCACATGATCCTCCTTCCTGATGTCATCATTCTATCCTAACAGTACTGATAGTTAGTGCTTATGTTGGTTATTCCTTGGTGAGATGAACCTAACAGCCTGGTAAAGCTATATTCAGGCAAGTCCCAAAACCTCCAGTCTAGGTACCAAAAATATATCGCCTTCAAGAAGCTATCTGTATACTCCGTACTCTGTAGTTGTACTGTTGTCGTGGGTTTATATGCATGGACGACTGTTGGAGATTCCAAATGTAGTAAGAGAGTGAGGGCTCACATTACATAAGCTGTCGCCGAACTCTCGGATAAATGTTGATCCCGAAGATATTTTGATAAATCTTTTTGGTGAAACAAAGCCGACTTGAATGCAGCGACCATTTCCTCCTTCCTTTTATATCTATGCTGTCGCAAATTATCACTACAGCCAAGGGTACACAGAATTCGACCCATCCCCACCAGAGGCTTCAACTGCCGAAAATTCCAAAATGGTTACCGCCACTCGACGAAGAACGATTGAACCGATAGAAGATGTTGAGACAAACGGTGTAAATGAAATCAATGGAAAGCGCAAGTCGCAGCCTGCAAATCCGACAAATACTGAACCACAGAGCAATAAACGGAGAAAGAAGAGCACGCCACCAGCCATCGACCAAAAAGAGTTGACGGACGCAAAGGATGAAGGAACAGTGCCACTGGCGAAGAAGAACCACTTTCGATTCGATAGCGAAGAACCTGTCTTGCCAGATATTGCGGAACCAGAGGAGGCGGACGAGCCAACGGCCGTACAAGATGACGAGGAGAATAGCAGTGACGACGAGGCTCCAGAGACAGTTGACAACTCTGCGCAACTTTCCAGAATAATGTCAGCGGCTAGAAAACAAGAAAGAGCAAGGCAAATGTTCGTTTCCCCCCTAAAGTTTTGTTTCTACACTTGTTCCTCGTCGTATTGACCGTCGTATAGGGAAGAGCAATTAAAGAAGGAAAAGAGACGACAGTTCGACGAAGCACGCAAATTGCAGGCGAAATCCTCAAACAAACGAAAACAAATACCTGTGCCTCGACTGGGAGCCGGCTCCCCTACAGATGATTTGGTATCTGAGAGTTCAGAGACACTCCAGGGCTCCTTCACGCAAGATTCTCGACACCCGACTCTCCCCACACTCCTCCCTGATGAGATTCTGAATGCCGTCCCCGCGATACGGCCCCCAACGCCGCCGGCTGAAACCTTCAGTGTTTCTCAGAAGAAACCCACCAAATTGAGATTCCTTGACAGAAAGGAAAAGGCACCCAAGGATATCAAAATGGGCGACGTTGCTATTCGTGTGCTAGGCAGTGGCGCTCGAAAGCAGCCCAATTCAGCCCTTCCCCCGAAGGCATCAAAATCCGGACGGAATGCGAAAGATATGTGGCTAAAGCAAGCTCGCAGTACAGGCCATGTCAACGGACTGAGGATGACGAGTGGCGGCTCTAAGGGGTTTGTTCGGAAGTGATTATCGCTTCGCTCCGAATCATCGAGATGCTGTACCCGCATGACTATTAATCTAGAGAAAAGCCATCGAGTCGATTTTTCGCCTAGGGCAAATGCGATACTTAAATGTGGAAGTATTGTCAGCAACCATGTGATTTGGTCCCGGCTTTTTTTGTTGAACTTTTGATCTCCTTGTTAATTTTTTTTTTCCTGGTGTAAATTTTATTCCTACGGCGTTTATCAAGGGCATACTTCTGTACATGTGGATGACGATTGATTATTGTCCTGCAGAAGGACCGAAATTCTAGGAAGCACTAAAAGTCTGCTTTCTTTTTCCTTGCTCAGATATATTGTGATTATTCTTATTAAATTGCCATCAAGAATACCTAGGTACCTACTACCTAGTAGTGTTATACTGGTTCGCGGATTTGGTAGATTCAATGGCATTAATCTGTGAAAGCACGTGCAGAGCTTGGAGTTTCGACTCCCATCCGCTTTTTAGACCTTTTTAGACCTTTTTAGACCATCACCACAACCAAACCTTTGTTGTCTCCCAACAACCTGTCGTTTCCATCGCGGAACCAGGAACCAATCCTTCTTTTATTCGATTAGGAGCATGATTTGAGTCTTTCCTTTGATGTTACCATCCAATCCATCATGGCTTCGACGACCGAATCCTCTCCTCTGCTCCCTCAACACCGACCTTCCTCCAATACGTCACCGTCCTCGCGAGGAAGCCGACCTCCACGGACAGTAACATTCAACCCTCTCGCTACAGTCAGCACGTACCATGACTACACCTCTGCGGATCCTACATTCAAGCCATTGAGCGCTGGCTCTCCATCTTCAAGCTCCCCAAGTCCTCACCGCCCGACCGGACTCTCCGCCTTGAATAGCAAGCTCCGTCGTCGCAATAGCCATGGCGCTCCTTTCAGCACTTCTCCCGCAACCCCGCCGACTCCTAAAGTTGGCCCGCAACGTACAACAAAGACCGCCCAGAAATTGAAACTTCTCCCGGATCCAGTCACCGAAGAGGAGGCTGTGGATGACGCGGCCCCATCGGACGTCTACACGCAGATCACTCGCATCAAGGAACCTGCGGCTCGGAGTCTTGCTGCAAGGTTGGGAAAGGCGGATCGGGACAGACTACCCAGAGTGACAGCATATTGTACGGCCAATTCATACCGACTGGAGGGGGTCTTTAAGTTTTTGAAATCCCGCTCTAAAACCCGAGGGGCTAACCCGAAACTCTTCGACGAGTGCGTGTATTCGTCCTTTGACTATCAATATGAGGAGAAGCAGAACGGCCTAGTGCCCTCAGTGTCCAATGGGTTCAACACGGATGACACTCACACTGTGGAGCGGCCGCCCAGAGAACGCCGATTTTCAGATAGTGCGGTTGAAGTCAATGAAAATCTCAAGAATCGGAGGGAAGAGCTTATTGACCTTCGTGATCCCGAATCGCATGCTTCTGACGTGCAGCAGCAACATGCCTCGGAACACGCCTCTGCGGTGGATGACACCCCCGATATCGATACCACGATTCATACCCCCGAGGTGTTCCTGTTCGACTATGGTACCGTCGTCATCTGGGGCATGTCGCCGGCCCAAGAGTCACGATTTTTATCCGATATATCCAAATTCGCGACGTCGATTCTGAGTCCAGAAGATACGCAGGTGGAGAATTTCAACTTCTATTATGCTCGTGAATATCAAGCCCGGATATATAACGACTTCATTTCTCTCCGTGACCCTCGCAACTATATGATCAAACTTGCAATCTCGCATGCTCTTGCTCAATCCGTGAAAACGTCCCTTTTCGAGGACCTCGTCTCCGAGACAATTTCCAATACAGCACCGTTGCCCGCTCAGATTGCGCAGACCGGCAGCGTTAATCTCACGCGACGACAGATCAACATGCAGATCGGAGAACTATTCATCCTCCGTATCAATATCCATTTACAGGGATCAGTGCTGGACAGCCCGGAATTGATGTGGGCAGAACCACAACTGGAGCCGGTCTACCAGGCAGTCCGGAGCTATCTCGAGATGGATCAGCGCGTCACCCTCCTGACAGAGCGACTAGACGTGATCGCAGATCTTCTGGCAGTCTTGAAAGACCAACTGACTCACCGCCACGGTGAGTATCTCGAATGGATAGGTACGTTTTTTTTTTTTTTTTTTTTTTTTTGCGCTATTGCTCCAGTACGTTGGCAAAGACTAATTTTCCACCCAAGTGATTGTTCTCATTGCAGCAGAAATTCTTGTGGCCGCCATTAACATTGTTGTTGATCTCTACGCGGGGGTTGATTAGCCGCACGACCCAGGTTTGGGATTCGTCTTCGTGAAGTGCAATACGGCGTATTCATACCCATTCTACATTCTTGTATCGCATAATTTCAGGCGCTGGAGTTGAGGAGCCATGGCCAGGATGACTTTTGCTGTACCTATTGATTACCGTGTGGCAGTGTGCGTTGAGACGTACAGTCCACTATGAAAGATATATAATTAGGCCTTTACACTCCGTATATCCCGAGCGTAATTGATCATTTGACTTCCGACTCCAGATTGTCGACGCCATCCCCTTCGTTGGCCTCCGGGTTACAGTTCTTTTTGGCCGCCAAAGTCTTGACAACATCTCCATAGGACACTGTATACGGGTCTGGATCCCAAGCCAGGACCCTGGTTTCCATCTCTTGGAGCTTCTGCGCAACCAGCCTTTCCATCTCTTCCTTCTCCGCGTCATCCAAGAGACCAAGTCTCTGCCTCCACGCATCCTCCTCGACACCGTCCGTCGGCCCAAAAAAGCGCCGGTCAATCTTATGCCAGTATACCAAATCAAAGGCAAAGTTGCGCATCGCAGCATAGACAATCCAGAAGTCCCCGCTGTCCCAGCTCTCCCGCATTGGGCCCGAGAGCCGATCCCGCTCGTTGAGGAGTCGTCCTCCCTGGATCGCATCGTCTTCGCACCGGCCCATTGCCCTGAGAAAGGTCCGCAGCCGGCGATCAAACAAGTGGGTCCACTCTTCGAGCCCGCCGGGCCAGTACTCGGGTCGCTCGAGAAGCAGCCACCAGGGCGGCGCAAAGGAAAACTCGACGGGCGCCGCGTACGTGAATTCCAGATCCACGATGCTCGCGATCCTCCTCCGGTCGTTGGTCACCAGCACGTTGCTGGGGCGGAAGTCATCGCCCCACAGCTTGAACGGGCCCGTGTCGAATCCCGCCGCCGCCCATCGCTTGTTCAGCTTTGCGCTCGCGGGCGAGTTTGCGGAACAGGCACCGGGCGACGAATTTCCGGCGGCAGTCGTCGGCGGACTCGATGGCGTCGTTGCGCTGGTGCTTGAGGTGGGCGATGTGGAGGTCTGCGAGGGTTTCGAGGTACAGGGATGTCGAGTGGAATGGCGTGCTGCTGCTGGGGAGGCGGGTTTGCGGCAGGGTGCCTAGTCGGACGAGCTCGTTCATCGCCAGCGAGATTGGACGATGTGCCACTTCCCAGGTAAAGTCGTCGATCTGGCTCAGGGACCCGATCCGCGGGAGGGATGGCTTGGAGAGCTGGAGAAGCACGCCTGCCATCTCCCCGTACATGGCTTCGAGGATCCCCTCGTCGATGTGAGAGGGTCGAGCCGTCCCCGTTCGGTATCGGGGCACCCCGGGAAATTCAGAACCTCGTACATGGTCGAGTGGTGTTCGATATACTCCATGATAATGAAGGGGCCTACCTCCAGCGGACAGTCTTTCTTGGATCCCCAGTGGAAAACGAACGGCACGGGGATGGTGGTGTGGTCGTGGATGTAGCGCATGGTGGCCACTTCATATCGGAGCTTCTCTTCAGGAAACATGGTTGCGCCAGGGAGAGGGAAGCGTATGATGGCAGAACCAATTTTGTATGTCATCCGGAGGGCGATATTGAATGCCCCTTTTTCCAAGATGTCGAATTTAACGGCTTCATCTGGGTTGTGGTGTCTGATGACAAAGTTTCCGATTGGTCTTGAGATGCTGGGGTCGAAGAATTGGCGAACCCAGGTATCAGCAATTTCCTCGCTTTTTTCCCAGGCTGTGTCATCATAGCACATGCGTGATTGCATGTTTGGAATTCTGATAGAAAGGTATATTATATTTCAAGTGATTTGTTTATAATCAGAACTGCAGTACTAGTGGGGAAGGCAGCTAGCTGTTCGCCAGCAATCCTGCCCTAAGAACAAAGGACATACATATTATTACGCGCGGCTCCAGAACCTTTTCACACGGTCTTTTTATATATCATTTAGATCCCCAGTGTTTGTCCCGCAATCATGTCCAACGGTGCGCATAAAGACGACCATTTTCGTGGTATCGATGGAGGGGTCCCCCCCCCCTGCAACTGAGCAGAGCAATAGGTTGGGTGTATCATGGAATTCGCAGACCAGACCCGATGGGTAGCGAGACTCTGAATGCCGCGGAAATCATGGAGAGTGAGAGTACAGGACAATCCGTCTCGTTCAGAAAGAGGCAGAAGTGAGGCAAAGTAACATACTTGCTTAACCCTAACCCTAACCCTACTTCCCATCTTACTGGATTCACCTGTTCAACTGCAATACTTTTCGTCTTTATGATGGATCATGTATTCTTCTTATCAAGTACATACATAATGTTATTCCGAGTTGGTTGGTTGGTTACCGTATGCATTAATTAGATATGATCTGATCTGATATTTTAATAAAAACACACACAGCAGTTCCGAATCTGCTGGCTCAATTTGCTGGAGAGAGGGGAAACATGTAAAAGGGAGAAGGAAAGAAGAAAAAAAAAAAAATTTCATGAATTCGCAACACAAATCTATCATCCTCACCCTTGACTTTCCTCTTTGGGCTCTTTGGTATCCAGATCCATGGGCGTTGCGGAGTTCTCTGCAGACGGGTCTGCGGCTTGTTCTCGCAAAGGAGAATCCCGCGGTTGGCTGTCGTGCTCGCTGGCACCGGTATCTTTCTCGGCGCCTGATCCGTTGCGGTCTGTCTGGATGCGGAAGGAGGATGTCATTTCCTCTTGTGTTGGGGCTGGAGCTAGTCGAGGCCACGAGGCCGATGAAGCCCCAGCGCCGGCATCCGCACCACCTTCGGCGGCGGTGTCACCTGAAGCACCGGCTTCGTCATCCATATCGAGGCCGATATTTGGCTTGCGGGATCGTTTCACGCGAAGAGGGCGTTCTTGGGGCTGAACCAGATAGTTAGACTATGAGTTTACACACACACACACACACACACATATATATATATATAATATATAATATATAATATATTGAGATAAAAAGAAAAGGAAAAATCAAATACTTACAGTAGGAGGCTGCTCATCGGAACTTCCCTCCGTCTCATCCTCAAAATACCCCGGTCCGTCCTTGCTAGCAACCCCATTCAAGTTCCCCGCTCCAGATACGATCCCAGCAGCTCGCGCCCGCAGTTCGGGGTTCACGCCTGCCTGGGCCTCCTCGGCCATGCCAGTGACCGCGGCTAAACGCTCGAGCAGAATACAAGACTCCAGGCGCATCTTCTGTATGTACTGCCATCCGCGCCGGTTCCGGACGCGCATGAGCTCGTTTTCGGCTTCGATCTCACCAAGGCGTTTCTTGAGGGCGATGCATTTGCGTTTGTATGCGACTTCGACACTGGGGGGGTTGCCGGAGGGTTGTGATGTTGATACTCGCGAGGACTCCATTGTTTCTGTGAGGAGCGGAGGGAGGAGTGTATGAGGATGAGAATTGACTGGTAGAGAGAAGAGATTCCAAGGGATGGATGGATTGCAATGGTCGAGGAGGCAAGGAGCGCGTGATCGAACGGTCAACAGTGCGAGAGATCGCAAGCCCAGGATTCGAGGTCAAAGCAAAGTGTCCATGAAGGGATCGTTGCAAGAGTTGGAAGGTCGAGAAACGATGGTTTGGATCGCCAAGACTCGGTTCTCGATGAAAGGCGGTCTGCTGCGTATGTATCTACAAAGCACCACTCCGTGACTCCGTACGGACTCAATCCTCTACAATCGGTCTCTTAACGGCGGTATGAAACTCCATGATCTATCTATCTATCTATCTATCTATCTATCTATCCCATGGTCATTATCGAATTAATGGCCTCCTGTAGTCGGAAGACCAAGGAACACTTTGAAGGAGTCATAACTATGTAGTCTCTGTTAGCACTGCCGCCCGACCACCCTTCCTTCACATCATCCATCATCACTTACATCAACCATTGGAATCCAGTCAATGTACCCAGCATGACTATACGAACCGGCAGACCATTCCACAGCCCAGAGAAACCGATATTGCCGTAGATTCTCGAGACAGCCGTCATGGCCGATTCCCCAGCTAATTCATTAGCACATCTCAAGACACCTCCCTCTTGTGGGAGAGGAAGGGGAGGGAAAGAAAAAAAAAAAAAAAAAAAAAAAACAACTCACCCTTCCGATCCGCATTCAACTTACTAACCATCACATCGGCGGGATGGCTAACAATCGCACAAAAGATCCCAGCAATATACCCGCCCAAAAAGCTCACCCCGGTCTGCTGCAACCCGTTATAGCTCTCCTTGGGCCTGCCCAACGTGCGATAGATAAGCCCCACGGTCTCCTCGAACGTCGCAAACTTGGTCATCGTGTACGGGATCTGGCGCGCCCACAGCGGATACAGGCCCTTGTACAGGCCCGCCACGCCCTCCGTGGCCACGATCTTACCCCAGCCCTCGCGCAGGCTGTGCGCGAACGGCGGCATGGTGGTCTGCATGCGCACCTTGATGGCTTCCATGGGGCAGAGGGCGAGATCGGCGAAGAACTCCGCGGAGGCGCTAGCGCCCAGGAAGACGACGGTGCGGTTCATGTTGGGGAAGAGCTGGTCGCCGTAGAGGTGCTTGAAGTACTCGTAGCAGCCGTATTTGCCGGCTCCCTGGAGCGAGTAGCCGAGCAAGGTCGGGGACCAGCCGAAGAAGATGCCGCGCAGGCCTTCTTTGGAGATGATGGAACGCCATGCGGAGAGATTGGAGGTGTAGATTTTGGGATCAACCTGGCGGCGACATTTGACGAGGTCGAGGGGGGTGACGGAGGTATGAGTTGGACCTGGGAATTTCTTAGCGGAGAATCATCTCGTTTCTTGTCTTTTTCGTCTGTCTTTAATTACTCACCACAGGCTTTGTAGAGGGATCCAATTAGCAATCATCATCCCCGTATCGAAAAAAAAAAAATCAGACAGAAAGAAAGGATGAGGTAGGCAGCAGCAGGGACATACCGATAATTCCTCCTACAGTACAGGCACCAAAATACTTGAGCGAGTTGGGCTCAATCTTGCCAAACGGTAACCTCCTCTCCTGGACAGCAGCCATTGTGGTGGATCAGATGGATACGGGAGGTAAGTATCTTCTAATTGAAGGAATATGAACAGAAGAGAGCAGTACTATTTAAGTAATGTAGTAGCAGAAGTCCCAGCCATCCATCCATCCATCAATCATGATGAAGTCTCGATTTATCCGTGCCTCCCGGTGCCGGTTTCCGATCTCTTGACTAGTTGGGTATGAGTAACTTAACTATTCCATCCTATCGTGATGTTCTCCTTCGAGATGATTATCAGATAGTTCAATCATCCTGCTGAATCTGTCTATACAGAATACCTGTTCATTTCTCTCTCTCTTTCTTTAGAGGGATGGATGAAATGAGTGACAATCCTTGGTGACGTCATTACCTTTCCGAGGTGCCGTTTTCGTACAATCTCTCACCCACAATATCCTCACAGAGCGAAAGTAACACCAGAGTCGCAAAGGTCTCATCCTTGACAGCTTGAGTGCACGAGTCCAGGGCCCGTCGCAGCCCCCGCAACGCACTCCCATAGTATTCTCGAGCTCGCAAGAGCAGCGGCGGTGCCTTCACCTGATTACCAAGCGTTACGAGAGCCGTCGCATCAACTGCGCGTCGAAGACTCGCGGCGCCAGTATTATCCGCTTCATTCTCTCGACAGAAGGCGTACAACGGGGACAGAAACCCCAGATGGCTGACAAACTCGCTGTACTCATCCACACAAGTATACTGGTCGAAGAAGTAGCAAACGGCGCGCTCATCCCAGGTGGAGTCGGCGAGTTGGATCAGAGATAACGAGGGGGGGGAAGAAGATTGGAGACAGCGCAGTAGGCGCTGGGATGACGCACTCGCTTTCTTCACGAGTTGCTCGACTTTATACGTCTCATTTCTGAAAATCGTCTCCTGGCTCTTTGCAGGCCCGATAGCCCTCGGAAATGCCGGAAATGAAATACAAAATACAGCGATCTTGGTGAATGTCTTGGATGTATTTTGCATGGGTTATTCGGGTGCAGGGGCGGAGATGCGATTTTCTTCCTCCGAGATTGGTTTACAGAGTCCGGAACGAACAGTTACTGTCGCACTAGTATGGCTTGGTTTACAAAGTACAATCGTATCCCGAGTACAGATCTGGAAGAACAGATTTGGAAGAAAGTAAATCCATTCTTTTCACTTCAGACTCCAGAAGTGTGGAGAAACTTTTAGGTATCAATGAATTACCTTCCGAGGCAATCCCATCCAAACCCACAAATCCCAGACCCAAATGAGCTTTAGAGATCGCCTCGTACTCCAGCTGGTATCAAGCCAGTGTAACCACACACATAGTTCACGGAACAGAAAACCAGAACACCCAGAATGCAAATGCTAACCAGTTAGGATTGACTCCCCGCCAGTGGTTGGTGGCTGGGAATCTCGTAAGGGCAAGAACTGACGTGACGACGCTTAATCCGCAAAGCAACAAAGAACTACATGATCATAAAGACGGGACGTCCAGCATTGGTTGGTCACCATCCCCGCCCTCAGAGCCAGTCGGGGGGGAGCTTGCTAGCAATCCTCTTGATCGCGTGCTGTCACTCCCGGAGCTACTGGACGTGCTCTCAGCAGACACCGCACTATCGCCAGATTCCTCTGGTGGTGGAGAGAAAGTCCAAACCTAGACGCAGATCATTAGCCAATAGAACGTATTAAAAAAAAAAAAAAAAAAAAAAAAAAAAAGGGTAGCGAGCGTACCTCCATGACCGTGCGACCTGCTCTACTGGCCATGATCACCGCCTTCTCTTCCTCAAAGGTTACTCTCCAGACCGTTTCCCAGGGGGTAGACAATTCTCGGAGAAGCTGTCCAGTCTGCAGACTCCAAACCTTGACGCGACCATCGCTCCCCCCGCTGACAATGCGCGTGCCATCAAATTGGAGACTAGTAACACTATTATCATGGGCTGCCAAGCGATGGATCGGAGCCATTTTGGTCAAGGACCAAACACGAACGGACCCGTCCGAGCCACCAGTAACAAGGGTATCACCGCTCATCTGCAGCTGCCCAACTAGGGATGTGTGTCCTTGCAGAATAGCATGGCACTGACCCGTGTGCGGATCCCAGACCCGAACACTCGTGTCAAGGCTGCCGGTAGCAATCCGGCGGCCGTCAAAAGCGATGGCGTAGATCTGGCTGAAGTGGCCAGAAAGCGCTCGTATGAACCGTCCTTCCGAAATCTTCCAAATGCGCGCCGTGGTATCATAGCTTCCTGACACCACATAATCACCGTGAACCGCGAGGCACCTAACACTGGCCTGATGACCAACTAGTACATTTCGGCAGGTTCCGGTAGTTAAATCCCATATCCGTAATGTGGTATCTCTCGATCCGGAAATCGCGGTGTTTTTATCTGACATTTTCAAACAACGGACCGTGGATGTATGCCCTCGTAAGAGATAGATTGCGGCGCTGTATGTAATCTCCGTTAGATCCTAGTGGCCGAATAAAAAAAAAAAAAAAAAAAAAAAAGTAAAAAAGAAAAAGAAACCCTTACCCCGTAGCCATGTTCCAGACTCTAACTTCCCGGTCACATCCCCCGCTGACAAGGATATCATCCCAGGGAACCATCGCCCATACCCCCATGACGTGTCCTTGGAGCGTTTTCTGGTTCTCCCCGTTGGTGTTATAAACATGAATCTTCGCATTATCTAATGAGGCCACAATATATTTGGGAGTCAGGTGCAGGCTGGTGACGACCCCCTGGTCCGGAGAAATATGTTGCTGAGTGCATCTTCCACCCTTGTTCCAGGCGGATTCTACCATGTATTTTTGCTTAAAATGAGACCTGTAAGATAACGGCCGAGGTGGGCGCTTGTACGGTTGTGCGGAGGACAGCGAAGGCCAATCGCCGGGTAGCGATCGCGGAAAATCCGAAAATCCATCGCGAGACTGAATAGTCGTGTTGTGCGGTCTCCGTTGTAACCCACTCAGGGAGTGTGTCCGTTGGTTATGAATAGGCTCGATGAAGTCCCCATGGTCCTCCGAAAGCCGTCGGTGAGCATATGCATGTTTCTCGCAGAGATTTTTCCAGGTGATGTCGTCATTTAGAAGTTCACGCCAGCGCTTGGACACCTGGGATGCTCTTGCCAAGGTTTTCGGATCGTCGATAAAGGAGAGGACCTGGAGGAACGGAGACAACCCCATAAATCAGACTTCAGGAAACCCCAACGACTCAAAACGTAGAATAGCCGACTTACCCTTAGACAGAGTTCGGTTGGGAAGACCTTGAACGGATCTTTCCTCAAACGAGGAGCCACATAGCTCGAGACAAAGCTCAGCTGTTGGCTGTTGCACAAGGCGAGAATACCTTCCAAGAAGCGCTGCTTCTTGACACCGGACAGAGTGTTAAATTGGATTCTAGTACTCAAGAGGAAGTCATCTTCTTCTTCGGACGACTGCCAGGTCGGCGGTCGTTGGTGAGGGGTGGGACTGGGAGCCGGGGTCGGAGGAGAAGTAGGTGCCGAGGGTAGGAGGGCAGGAGGAATAGGAGTGATGGCTTTATGGGAGGAGGATATTGCTCTTGCGTGCGAGCTCATTCCGGTATTCGCTGACTCGATAAATGTCACCCGACGAGAACGTTATGGATTGCCGCGCGACAGAGCGACAGGAGCATCCAGGGAGAGATATTGAGCGGGACGGTTTCACGGTGAATGTCGGAGTATCCCCAGGCACACCAGTCGAGGATCTGATGTAGTCATAGATCGTAGGAAACGAGGGTGGGGGGGGGATATTATAAATGTAAAAGATATATTTTAAAATGCAAAAAAAAAAAAGAAAAAGAAAAAGAAAAGAGAAGAGAAGATCCGAAAAGGGAAAAAAAGAAAGAATACGAGTCGTCTCTTTTTTTTTTTCTTTTTTTTTTCCGGTGGAGAGGGAAAGTAGAAAGAGAGAGGGAGGGAGAGAGAGACAGAGAGTGGATAGATAGACGCCGAGTAGCAGAAGGTGGTAGGGGTTGAGGGGAGAGGAGGACGAGGAAGAGGAGGAAGAGGAGGAAGGCTCAGCTGGTGAGACACTGAGCGATAGTCGGAGAATACGGAGTAATAGGGGTAGGGGGAAAAAAAAAAAAAAAAAGGGTCGAGGGGGTGGAAGAGAAAGAGAGAGAGAGAGAGAAAAGGAGAACGAACAAGAGGCGAATCAAAAGGACAAGCAGAAGAAGGAGAATCCTCGAGACGATAAACGGCAGTGCAGCAAAGTCTCCATCCAGTTCGAGATGATGATATTCCAGAGTCTCGACCTTCAATTCTCTTTCATATCAACTGATGTCGTGATAGATCCCTCTTACTGGTGCGGCCGCTGCCGTAATGTCCACTTCTTTGGGCGGATTGTTCTTATTAGTGGAGGGAGCACCGTCGATCCACTGGTATCCGCATCTCCTACATATTAGAAGGTAGTCTGATAACCTCTCCAATAATCGTCAAAGAATACATCACAGCCTCCAGTCACGCCGTTTCTTCTTGCCTTCTCTTGCTCTGCTCGATCGATGGGACATAACCAAGGTACATCTCCAGAGCTGGACCCGGATCTCTGGTTTAGGTTAACGGCAGACACTCTCCGTCCACGGATCCCATCAATGTTCGAACTCGTCACTGAGGAAACGGAATGAGATCGTGCTTGCAGAATAATTTCATCACCATCGGCTCTGTGAGCAGAATCAACCACGGGAGACGCGGCGTTTTTTATAGCCTCTACGGATACATGCGGATTCTCTTCCTGTCGACGTAAATTTTCGTCGGTGGTCATGCAATTATGATTTGTTTCCCCCCCTCTAGACCACGCGAATATTCCAGATCATTCCAGATCAACCAAGATCCGATACAACTCGCTGCTCTTCACAGGACTATAGCAGGTATATTGTGACAATTAAGGCGGATATGGAGGCAAACAGAAAAAAAGAGAAAAAAAAATAAACAAGGAAATCAATAATTCTAGCTATCAAGGGGAGAGGCCTGTTTCAGTGGCAATCGCCTCGTCAGTGTTCAAAACATGTACCCATCAAAAGAAACCGGATCCTAAAAAAAAAATTTGGTTTTTAATAGAAAAACATCACAGAAAAATAATCTAGTTGGAACGCAAAGGTGGCCCGAAGGACTCCGTTAGTGGGCATGCCCGATTTGGAGAAACAGCGGCAACACCATGCCCACTACAGAAGCAACCAAGTCCCTCATCGACTTGTCGGATTTCGATGGGATGTCTCGAGGGTCTCCGTAGCCATTGACCGGCGGCTCTCGTGCAGTGGGGCCATGCTCCTGCATGGTGTGCATCGCCACGTACCTGCACTAAAGTTAGTTCCCATGAATTCCGGGGGGAGGGGTGAGGGGGTCTTACAAAAAGGTACCGGCTGAAAACAGAAGCAGCACCCCCGTCCGCCAACGAGCACCTGTTTCGTCGGGGCTGGATCCCGATCCCAATAGATGCACAAATAAGAAAGTCGCCAGAGCCCCTACCGGGGCCGCTAGACTAAATATCAACAGATGGGCTCTCGCAGCACGACTAGATAGGCCCTGTTTAAGCAAAATCGATGTAAGCCCGAAAGATGCTGGGGCCTTATGGACCATGATGGCCAAGAAAATAATAAAACTTAAGCCCGTGTCGGAACTTGATGCTCCTAGGGCGATCCCGTCCGCGGCCGCATGGATCACGAGCCCTGTAGTTGTTGCAAAGCTGTGACTGCTGCGAGGGATGTTGGCGGCATCCAAAAGTCCACCTTCCCGAGAGGGTGACGAGTTTCGACGCAGTCCAGAGCCCAGGTTGTCTAAAGAAATATGATAAGGTGCTCTCGGTGGTTTAGGCGGGGTCGCAAACTCGGGGATTTTGTCGATCAAATACATCAGAATGAAGCCACTGATAAGAGCAATACCAATCCAAGCATGCGGGGAGCTATTTTCATTGTGCTTATCCTCCGACCCTTCACCTGACGTCTCCTCCTTTCGTTCCTGCAGCTCGACCGGCAGATTGCGTGTAACATGTATGGTAGTTTTGACGGGGGAGCCAAGTGCTCCATGCCAGTTGTTTTCTTCCCCGTCCGGGTTGGAAGAGGTCGTTGTGATGACAGGAATGATTGGTTGTTGCTGCGAACCCGGGAAAGAGACTGAGCGGCGGCTAAGGTCTCTGCGTTGAATAGTCGCATCCGCGCTGTAAAGAGTCTCCACGCCCTCTGGTATAATTACAATCAAGGATGTCCCAACCAAAACCCCCATGCCAATGGAGGAGATTAGTCGCAACTGGGAAGGAGAAAGCTTGAAGGCCAGTGGTAATGAGCCGACGACGAAGGATCTATGGGCGGCCAATAAGTGGTATTAGCTGGCGGAAAACTGAGACCCAACGGTCATGGAAGGCAATTGAGCAACTCACGTAATTGCCATCACAATGCTCAAGATGAGCAATGTGAAAAGTCCCTCCATGGTAGGTGTCTCGTCCCGGAGGTGTGTTTGCGCTTAGAGGTCTTCAATCATGGCGTCAACTGCTCAGTTAACACAATTGGGCGGAGTCCAGTCCTGCTGAGATGTAACGAGGCAAGTTGATTTGTTAGACTGGGAAAACTGGGTTGTGGGAGGGGGCTATGATGATATGTCAAACGAGTCGTTAGAAGAATGGTGCCGACAGGTGTCCGTGACTGAAAACGTGGCGTAGGTGGACGATGACGATCGGTCGCAGTTGGAAACGGAAAGGGGCGTAATTTACTGGAATTTATTTGGTAATTTATGACAGTACGGAGTACAGATTAGCAATTACTAGTAGTTAACTACTCTGTAGCACCAGCACTTACCCGTAGTAACTACTCTAAACCAGAGCAAATATTGTGTTATTAATAGTACGGAGTACAATACATCGTACAGCCAGGCACGTCCCGTGGCGGTGGTCAGTCGTTCCTGCCCTAAAAGCAACAGATCGTGGCACCTTCCCGATTCGGCTGAATCTTTATCCTTCAAGTCAACTTCTTCACTGGAAGAGAAATTCCTCAGAATGCATATCACTAGATATTATTCACCTGGGATAGGTAGTTAGTTACCTACTCTGTACTAGTAGTGACTAAGTGCTCTTCTCAGAATCTCCATATCTCTTTTTCCCAAACCTCCTGCATGGTGCTCTCCAACTTCCCCAGAAAGGCCCGAATCCCCCCCTCCCCTCCTCCTTGCTGATAGCTCTCAAAAACACCATTCCCCGCCCACCTCGGGCCTAAACTCGCCATGAGAATCGTATCCAGATCTTTCGCATCCACCACATCCTCCTGCACGAGATAACACGCCTCACGCAACAACGCAAATGCCAATCGATTGCCCACAAACCCGGGAATCTCTTTCCGAATGACTACAGGCCGATGCCTAGACCCGGGGAGGGAGAAGTACTCCCGCGCGAACTCAACTCGCTCAGGGGCAGTTTCAGGAGCCGGCACGATCTTGAGCAACGGCATAATGTGAGGCGGGTTGAACGGGCGCACAACCAGCAGGCGGGTTTTATCTTGCATGTTGGTCTGTTGCACCGATGCTGCGATGCCCGAGGTACTCGTCCAGAGATGTGCCGTGCGGGGAGCGAACGACTCTACTTGTTTCCAGATGGATTGTTTAAAGGCGAGATTCTCAGGGCCTTGTTCCTGTACGATTGTTGCGGATGCGCAGGCGCTTTCTAGTGAGGGGTGGATGTTGAGACGACCACAGGACACTTGAGAAGATACTCTGGATCCTCTGGATTCAGTCTCGGATCCAGATAGGAAAATGGGAAGAGTTTTGAATCAGTATTCTTCTAGGTCTGGTCTTGGGTCGAATACGTCGACTATGATGCTGTCCCATGTGAGATGCAGAGCAGCCATGGACATACCGATAGTCCCCAGTCCGATCAAGGTGATGCGTTGTGGATCGGTCGAGGACATTGTATCAGCTAGCTTGGTACTTACTGGCTTCGATATGCTGGGATGTGTATGTATAATAATCTAATCTTTGTAGGGGGATGTAGTGCGAGAGGTGGTGGTGGTGCAATATCAAGGTCCCACCATGAGTGACAAGCCGAGGTTTACCCCACATTGATTGATCCTACATATGTATACTTTTCGACGGCATTTTATAACTGATGCGCCTGTATATTGAGAGTTTGGAAATGGATTTCATAGATTACACAAGCAACCATTCCCCTTGCCAAAAAAAGTAGGAATCCTTTATTCTTATATTAATACTGGGATTTTGTAAGACTTAACCAGTTGGAATTGACTACTCTAGTTTTATTCCTAGGAATTATCCCATTTCTACTTCATCTTTGCCTTGGACTGTACAGCTTTTCTTCGTGATAGTATGACGATGCGCTAGTCCCAAAAGGGTTATACCGTTCCGCGCAGCGCGATCGAAACACGCGAGGGGAGAATGGAGGACGGAGACTTCGTTAGAGACATCAAGGTTTCGATTTCTTTCTTCCAACTTACTCCTCCATTACTCTGGAAGAGAATTACCATCATGTCGGCTGAAAGCGATTGTAAATGGCCCCATTTCTTATCTCGATTCCCCCTTCTCTCCTGCTATCGCGATCATCAAGCTGACGCCCGAATTCCTTTATACAGGGTCTTGCGACGCGAACGACGCCGTCCAAATCACCATCGTGCAGCCAGATCAACATAAGCCCAAAACCGTTTCAAGCTTTCACCCTCAATTTACATATCCGATTTTTGGAGACGAAGAGCGTATATTCGGGTACAAGGGATTGATCATCCGCTTGCGGTTTGCAGCCCATGACCTCCGCCCACAAATCCATATCTCTTATGATGAGAAATTCCAAGCAGTGGATGATGCGGAACCCGTCGACCTGCTTAAAGCATTGAAGCAGTTCCTTCCTGAAGGTAAGTAGACCCCGCGAATCTGGTCTGTTGTCTCTTTGACTAGTCTAACACACTTTGGACCCGCCAGAGGCCTTTTCCACGCTCCCCGAGTTTGAGAACTCTCTTCAAGAGGAAGACAGCAAGGATTTTGTTCCCCCAGGAAAGCTCGTTCATAGTTACGCGACTCGTGGGAGGCATTATGAAATCTGGGCTGCATCCCTCGCCGACCCTAAAGTACAATTGCTACTGAACCGGATTCAGATTATGGTATCATTCTTCATTGAGGGTGGAGTACCTCTTGCGACAGACGACCCTGAATGGACACTCGAGCGATGGATGATATACTTTGTGTATGGGCGCCCGTGGAGAATATCTGCCAGGTTTACGGTAACTGATACAAACTAGATACGAGAAAGTCGAACCTCCTACCCCGTCAGCTTCAAAATACTCTATTGTCGGATATGCGACAACCTATCGGTGGTGGATGTACCAAAGAGACCGTTCAGATAAGCCTACTGTCAAGAACAATGCATTCCCTGCCTCAGAGATCCGACCTGGGGAGCTCCCATCTCGTCTGCGAATCGCTCAGTTTTTGATTCTCCCACCCCATCAAGGCACAGGGCATGGTGTCCACCTCTATACCACAATTCACACTGCGTGCTTCGAAGACCCTACCATTGTCGAACTCACCGTGGAAGACCCTAATGAAGCCTTTGACGTGCTCCGCGACACGGCTGATTATCATATCCTTCGGCCAATATTCCTCAAGCATAACCTAAACATCAACCCCGACCCCTTCAGCGATAGCGCGAAGAAATCCAGGCGTGTACCAACCTCCGTGCTCTTACCTACCAAGCTCCTCAATGATATCCGCACAACCAACAAAATTGCGCCGACCCAGTTTGCACATATCCTGGAAATGTTCCTTCTCGGCCAGATCAATATCAAACATCGGCACAAGGGTGGCGCAAACATGTCACGCCTCTTCATTAAGAAGCATAGAGCCGACGACCCGGACGACCGGCGTTACTATTGGTGGCGCATGCTCACGAAGCAGCGCCTTTACAAACGCGCCCGGGATACGTTGATCCAGCTGAAGCTGAGTGAGCGTCACCATGCTCTCGAGGAGACTGTTTCGTGTGTGGAAGACGGCTACGAGCAACTGCTTGGTGTTTTCAACGACCGTGAAGAGCGCCTTAAAGCTCAACAAGAAGAAGCTGATGCTTCATCGAGTAGAGAACACCGACTCAAGCGAAAACTCACCATAGATGACGACGACGAGGAAGAGGAAGAGGACGAGGAAGCTACTGTTTCCAAGCGGCCAAAGGCATAAATAGTATCATGCTACCAAGAAAGGGATGCAACCTTTACACATGTCTCGTTTATTCAAGCTGTTGAGAAGCTGTCCTGTAACAATATCATCAAAACATACAGATTACAACTAGAATGTGAGGACCTGTGAAAATGCGGCCAAAAACGACCACTATTGTAGCCTTTTACCGCGGCATTTCCGTAAGCCCCGCCTTCGCTTAGTATCGAATAAATCGTCCTTGATCGAATATAGTAGTAGAGAATGAGTGTCCTTATATCCTTCAGTAGCTATAGCAACCTAAGTATCTGCAAGATGAATTAAAAACCAAATAATAATAATAATAATATCACGGATGATAGCTAGGCGGCGCCGTCTCCGCGGTCTCCAACGTATCTAAACTCATCATACTTGTTCTCGACGACAGGAGAGTCGAAAGTCCAGCTGTCGACGATGCTACCGTCAAAGGCTCCCTCCTTTGTTTATTCAGAAGGTCTGCGATTTCATGGTCTGCGTCATTTGCACGCGCATGCGCAGCCTCGAAACCCTGCGCTGGGTTCCGAACCAACTCCCCCACGTACTCTAGAGCCTGTCGAAACCCCCAGATCTCGGCCTGCATGACGCCCGGCTCTGAAGGTGGTGCATGGCTAGGCTCGTGATCGGATTGCTGGGTGGGGTCTGCGAATTCTACGGCGGGTAGGCCGAAGTCGTTTAGTTGGGTGTTGTCGTCGCCAGCGACGTCGTTGGTGTTGTGGTTATGGTGAATGCGGTGGGGTCTTGGGATAAGACCGCGAGTAGTAAGGCCCTCCCACCATTGTTGCCAGCGGAGTCGTCGGGCTGCAGATCTATAGGCGCGACGGGTCTGTCTTTCTTCTCGCCTGGCGGCTCGATCGGCGCGACGACGTCGGCAGTAAAAGCTGTTCTGGTAGATGATGAATGTGAGGATGGAGATGCTCCCGATGAGAACGACTCCCGCGGCGATGATGGGGAGGTCGAAGAATTCGTGTCCAGAATGGAAGATTAGATGGTTGGTCGTTTTGGCGTCGTATGCGCTGTCGGCGATGGGGGTAGTGGATGCTGGTTCCGAGTTGCTGGATTCGGATTCAGAAGAATAATGTCCGCCGTTGGATACTGTGGAGTTTGGATTGGGAGAGCTCTGAGCGCAGATGCTGTGATGTGGACACTGTCCGCAATAGAATTCAGGCAAGGAGGAAGGTAACGGCCCGAATTTATATTGCATTTGGCGAAGTAGACTGGGGACTTTGGATAGCGAGATCTTGACTTTGCAACCTAGGGTGGTGCAGTCCCCCCATTCGGATGCGGCGACGGTTGGGCAGGTCTGTTGTAGCATTTTCCGCACCTTATGCTCCTCTTTCTCTATCATTTCATGTAGGCGATGAGCTTTTATCTTAAGGTCCTGTAAGTGATTCCATAGAACTTCTATACTTTCTGCAGGTTGGCTTTCTTGGCTTGTGGCTGCATCCGATTGATCGATACAGTCCATGTCTATTAATTCCTGCCAGTTTTTCATGTACGAAAGCTGAATCAGTGTCCATGGTGGACTTGAAATGTCACGAATCACTGGCTCTAAGTTCTCCTGTAAGAAGATCCTGAAGCTTACTTTGGGTTCGAGGTGCACCTGTCCCAGTTGTTCAATGTGCACAGTCAGGAATTGTGCCAGACACTCTTCCGAGTCGCGACAAGGAGCCGGTCTGCAGGTGCTCTCCCAGTTAGCAGAAAGTACCGTATTAGGGTTGCTAGAGGACTTGATCGTTCCCGAGCCATGACCGGCATTTCCATTCCAGGTATGAGCAAGGTCCTTTCCATTGAGATAAATGCCCGTCCCATCACAGGCATCCCGGGATTTATAAACTTTCAATTCTAGAGGCTAATACAGTCATCTCCGTAATTATACACTTTGGGCAAAAAGATCGTCTTACCAGGCTCGAATGCCCATTGTCCTGGCATGCTGAGCATATAGCTTGGAACTTCACGAGGGTAAATTCATCTGCTATCAAAACACTTAGATAAGACGTGGTTACTGATTCCAAAACATGGACTAACTCTCAAATAAGCCGGTAACAGATGCTCCAACTTCATCAGCAGGCGATGCACCGGCAACAAGACCATTAATGAACACGGCCAGGAGAATCCATAAGGATAAGTTCGCAGAGAAACGCATACTGGTGTAGAGCTGACGGTAGGGATCTACATGAACGCAACCCCGACGGCGACTGCGCGGTCGACTGTGACTCTTCTCGGTTTATGAGAGTACCTAGTATCGATCCCTCTTTGAAGAATCCGTGCTTCATCGGAAAATCATGATCGGGTGGGATGGATACTGATGCTGATGGTCTCCCCACCCTTACAAGTACTCTCTAGTTTCCGGATTGCGGAGATTCCTATTTTCCGAGGACTTCGCCGATGCCAGAAGCTTGTTGCATCCCAGCTTCATGTGCAGCAATCCAGTCCCAGCACACTTGAATTCAGCATTTCGCTACTGGGCACCTACTTGGTTACTCGTTATTCTGGTTGATCTCTGCGATAAGGGATCGGGTTCTGCCTCTGAGCTCATTACTATCGCATTTTCTTAGCCCACCTTTTAGAGTATCTACTATGGTAAAGACCCCTCCCCCCCAAATAACAAGGAACGAAGCTGTCGACCTCTTTTCTAATTTGATAAATACTAATTATGCGCGAATGATAGTTGCCCCTCGGTTTGCTAACGGCCGCTCAAGGCCACCCCATGCTTGTCGAGCTTAAGAACGGCGAGACACTGAACGGACATCTCGCCAATTGCGACAACTGGATGAATTTGATTCTTAAGGAAGTGGTTCAGACAAGCCCCGAAGGCGACCGTTTCTTTCGACTACCAGAGGTCTACGTCCGAGGAAACAATGTAGGTTCCTGCCCCTCACCCTAGCTAGCACGAAACTAATCTCGGCGCTTAGATCAAATACCTACGGATTCCTGAGGAGATTATCGAAATGGTGAAAGACCAACAGCAGAACCAACCGCCAAATCGCAACCGTGGCCCTCGCGAAGGTGGAAGGGGCGATAGGGGAGGCCGGGGAGGTCGGGGTCGTGGGCGTGGCCGGGGCCGGGGTGGAAGCTAGATGTGGGATTTGGTGCCACGCAATGACGAGCAGAGACAAAGAAAGATACCCCGGAGATACTGAGGAAGTAGTTCGCTATGGAGGATGGTTTGACGGGTTAGTCGCATGGCCTGGCGCATCTGGTTGGGTTTTTCGCTGGGAATCGTGCCATGTAAAATTCGTTGCTACAATAATCATTATGTGACCCATGTGAAAACGACAAGAAATGATAACTCCGTAGTTTCCTAACAACCTTCATCTCTGCTCGAGGACTGCGTATCATAGTTATTTAAATCAGCTGGCAAGGACTGTGATATCACGTGATCAGACGGCATTTGTTTCTCGGAGCCCATCTTCGGAGGTTTGAGTTTCTACAGAGATCCATGATGTCCCAGCAGAGACTCGTTCTGGATGGACTCTGGCGTTGTCTTTGTCCCTCATTTACTCTCAAGACACTTAAGCGGCACAGTGTCGTTCGTCCAGCAAAGCCAGGCTCGCGACCTCTTTCATCAACGCTTCTCCCACCGCCGTTATCCGCGTGCCATCAAAGATACTACAGCACCAATTCCTCTGGGGACGTAGACAGACATGAGGCGCCAGGAGATCGATCCTACGCGATAGATATCCACACCGATACTCTACCGGACCAAGAATTCTCCCACATAAAGGGCGCGGATAACAAGATAGAACAGCTGCTGGGCTATCGCAAGTCATGGCAGACACACGGTGTGCCGGAGCAGCTCCAGCACTGGTCCACAGCAAAGTTAGAGGCTAAGCTTCGAAATATTGCAGATAGACGTCCAAACGTCCACAGTGCGACACAAATCCTGCGGCTTCTAATTCGAGACCGTTGTATTCGTCCTGAAGGGAGGCATTATAAGTGGCTTATACAATGTAACGCCGATCCTGATCGCGGGACACCAATTCTAGTCCGACGACTACTTGCGGAGATGGACGAGAATGGCATCCCAGCGGATTCTGGGACACTTCATGCTGCACTGCAGGTAAGTACTAGTTCGATCTCCACAGTAGTCCATGAATCTGGATCGGGTACTGACAATGCGGTTTAACCAAGGCCATTGCGGTTCACCCGGATTCCCTCCTCCGCCAAGATATCTTACGTGCACTTCGAGATCGCTGGCTACCGCTCAGTCCAGACGGGTGGCATTATGTGGTAGCTGGCCTGATTAGAGAACACCAGTTCGAATTGGCCCTGGATCATATTGCAAACATGGAGAGGAAGGATATACCGGTCCAAGATTGGCTCCATAGCCTTCTCATCTATTACCTTTGCGAGTTTAACGAATTTGACCAGATCGAGCAACTAATGCGTTCCCGCTTAAGCCAAGGCCATGAAATGACACCCGAGCTATGGACCCATGTCCTCGATCGGGCAACTACCTCACTCCATTACGGCGCCACTTGCTTCATATGGGGAAGAAAAGTTGAATTGGGCTATCTTCATCCAGAGCATTGGTTGTGCAGCAAAGTGCTGGAGGTAGCGGCCTCTGAGGGCGATACCAAGCTTGCCGCATCAGTAGTCAACTTTCTTACCCACAACAGTCTGCCCCTCGAACCCCAGGACTATGAAAACCTGTCCGATGCCCACCTCGTGTCTGGTAATTTATACGCTGCGTTTGAGGTGCTGTGTAAAATGCATCAGGATGGTCTCGCATTGCGATCAAGCTCTACACAAGCTATCATTGCGCATAGCCTTAGAGAACATACCCACGTACGGGATGTGTGGGCTGTTCTCAAAGAACTAAAGGCCGCGGGGCATGAAATCCCGCTCGCCTGCGCCGGAGTGGTCATTGAGATGTGCGAGCACAACGCCAAGGATGACCCATTCGAGGTTGATGATGGAATTGCATTTTATAAGGAACTCTATACGCTTTGTAATGAACAGCCAGACACCGCCACATTCACCTCTCTTATCAGCATGTGCCACCGGGCTAAAAATACCGAGGCAGCGATGTTTATTGTCAAGGAAATGGCAGCCTTCAATGTGTTACCGGATGCCCGGACGTTCGAGCGCCTCGTTATCATGTGCCTCCAATCGGGCAATTTCGAATCGGCGTATATGTACTTTCACGATTTGCAGGAACGAGGGTTCCATCCTAGCCCGGAAGCACGCACTGAGATCCGCGAGCTTTGTGCGGAATCGAATGACGACTTTGCCATTGAATTGAAGTATCACCCGGATATCCACGACGGACTAGTGCGGAGTCCCGCCGATGAGATAAAGGCTGCGGAAGGGATGGCGCTGTTTCAGAAAGTCCGAAGTGAGTCAACCGGGGCATTTGCCGACCTTCCCCAACAGGTCAAAGCCCGAGACTCCCAGCGGGAAGAGAACCGACAAATGTACCTGAAAATGTCCAAGGACGAGCGCCGGCAATACAACAAGGAGCGCCGGAAGAGAAAGAGAAGACGGCTGGCGATTGCGAGGGCGCAACAAGAGGATGATTGGATGGACTACGAGCCTGGTGGCCTCATTCCTGAGGATCAGCTGAACTCTAAGAAACCCGCCAGTGAATAAGGATATGGAAATGGGCCCTATATATGTGTACATATGTACATATGTATGTATGTATGTATGTATTTAAGTAATTTTTAAGCATTGAAAGATGGTATCCCTCGTTTTTAAGGGTCCAAGGATCGAATGACGGTTTTTGATGTATACAGTACAAGTCAACCTGGAAGACGCAATAAATCTATATATATATATATCCCCCCTTCACCATTACAACACAGGTACTTAAAAAGTCGAGAGCAGGCTACAGAGTATGACAGAGTTAACCACATCCAGGAAAGGCCGAAGGAACCAGTGGAGCGCCTAAAGGTCTTGAAACCTGGCTCAGGAGTCGGCATTCCACTGACACTTCAACCTACCTAGGTAAGCAAAAATAGCAACAGACGTTGTTCACGATGAGTGGACGAGTGTCAGTCTAGCCTCTGACAATTCGGCTACCTGCCTGCCTGATAATAACATCGATCATGTAGTACTGGCACTGTATTATTATTATGAACAGTTACTAACAGAAGATCGACAGCAGTTCGTATATTGGCAAGGGTGATCGACCAGGCGGCGTCCAATTGTCCTCCACACATAATATCACCAAGTACATCTATCCCGTCCTTCTCCCTCCTTTCCTATTATATACAATCTTCTCTGTCTCCTGTTCGCAAGTTATCACCCCTTTGTCCCGAATCTGCGTTTACTTGACTATCCCTTGCTCGGTACAAAAACACCCACCCATCCACCCATATTCATTCCTACTCTTGAAGAACACTTATATTTCTTCACCCATCATGCAACTCACCTCCCTCATCACGATCGCCGTCTCCATCTGGAGCGCGACTACAGCATCCGCCTTCCCTATCCGGATTACCGCCGACAACCCAGCCCTAACATGGCACGTCTCGGAATTCGACGTCGGCTGCTCCCCCGGAGGCTGCGTCTACACATTCAACATCTATGGCATTGGAACCATCAATACTCCGGCATTCAACACAACCTGTACCGGAACCACCGTGGAACAAGACTACGTGAAATGCAAAGATCCCAACGTGTTCGCGCAGGTCGTGCCGCAGCTGTACCCGACCTGGCAGATCAAGGCCAAGCACCATTGGCGCCAGGGTGATGATGCTGATTTCTATGCGCTGGGCCAGGCGAATATCACCTCCGGCACCGCACAGTTTACGATTCCCGTGACGGAGATGTATGGGGTGGCTTAGATTATCCGGGGACTGAGTACAGAGTACTGGAGGACTAATTGCGATCGTCATGTGGTGCCGTCTACCATCTACCTCCTAAAGCGAGCGATAAATCCGTCTTGGATCTTGGGTACAATTCTGTTATTTGGCGGGAATATTCGATATTGAGAGCTGGATTGTGGTGATGATGCTTTGCTCTGGTGTTTGGGAATATGTCATGTCGTGTCCACTCATTGGAATAATGGAATGTAATGGAAGTATTTAATTCGTGCAATGCATAATAATGATTTTATCCATCTCTAGTCATATACGCAAGAATACTTCAGGAAACAGTAACTATTTAACTATTTAACTATTGACTAGTTACGGAGTAGTAGTTAGTATACAAGACAAGAATCGATGACATCAGCAGCTCGGCATCTAAACGCGTCGCTTCAAAACAGCAAAAGAACCAACTCCTTTCCCTCTACTCATTTCCTATACAGAAAACTTCCGCAAGCTCCCAGTCTTGGATGGAAGGATCGGTGCTATCACACCCATGGTATGTTTGCTGTCCCAAGAAATTTCTCTCCAGTAAAACAGAACGCCCAGACTAACCGACAGCAAACTTGGCTTGCATGACACGCAACACAAGGCGTCGATCCTCCGACAGATTGTAGCTGGTCCTCGACTACAGCACCCAGAGGCAGGGTTGGATCTCTGCTATGTTACCGATGAGAGTGAGCCTGCCTAACCTGCCCTGACTCAATTCAACGGGCTGGATCACTAAAGTCACTCAATCAACCGCGACGTTTTTTTTTTTTTTTTTGACGTAAATTAGTTATCGCCACGTCCGGGCCGTCATCAAACTACCCGAAACTTGCGTACAGAACACCCTTGAGAGACCTCGTCAATTTCCTGGATGCAAAACATGGGGCGGATTGGTGTATTTGGGAGTTCCGCGCTGAGGGCACAGGGTACCCGGATTCCGAAGTCTATGGGCGCATTCACCACTTCCCGTTTCCCGATCACCATCCGCCGCCGTTTGCGCTTATTCCGAAGGTCATGGCGAGTATGCGGAACTGGTTGCATCGTTTAGAGGATTCGGATCCCGGAGAGGGACCAAAAGGGGAAGACAAAGACAAAGACAACGAGAAATGGCAGCGTGTTGCCGTTGTGCATTGCAAGGCTGGAAAAGGCCGCAGCGGGACAATTTCTTGCGCGTACCTGATTAGCCAGGAAGGGTGGACGGTGGATGATGCCCTACAGCGATTTACGGAGCGGCGCATGCGGGTTGGGTTTGGTTCCGGGGTGAGTATCCCCAGCCAAGTGCGCTGGGTGCGGTATGTGGACCGGTGGACGAACCAGATGGGGAAGAAGTATGTTGAGCGGCCGGTGGAGATCCTCGAGCTGCATGTCTGGGGGTTGAGGGACGGTGTTAAAGTTGCGGTGGAGGGGTTTGTCGAAGGAGGACAAAAGATCAAGTGTTTCCATCTCTTTCGTCAGGATGAACATATTGTCATGGATACGGAGAGCGAGATTCCCAATGGAAACAGCCATGCGAATGATACCGGCCGCGCCATGACACCCCCTACACCAAATGCTCTCCCCAGCTCGAACACCGAATCTGTCAACACAACAACAACAACATCATCATCATCATCATCATCACCATCACCAATCCCCAAACCACCAGCCTCAGCCGTCCTTCTACGTCCCTCAGCACCCATTCTCCTCCCAACATGCGACGTCAACATCGACTTTGAACGGCGCAGCAAAGCCGCCTACACAGGCCTAGGAATGGTCACCTCTATCGCGCACGTCTGGTTCAATACATATTTCGAAGGCGGCGACAAGCACGACTCGGGTGTTTTCGAGATAGAATGGGATGCTCTGGACGGGATCAAAGGCACCACGAAGAAGGGAATCAGAGCGCTTGATCGATTAAACGTTGTTTGGCGATATGCTTCTCCTTCCACTCCAGGAGGCGCAAACGCAGGTGCAGCTGAGGCCAGCATCATCACCGAACCAAAACCAGGCGAGCCCATTCCTGAAAGTCACCCGGCCGATTGGCGGCTCCTTGATACGGCTGCGAACGAGAATGAGAATCAGAACGAGGACAAGGACGCGGCCGGGGACGACGACACTGAAGAGCAGTCCGCTCGAAACCAGGAGAATGTACCCATGCAAGCTTTAGAGACAGTAGCCGCAGCTACTGGAGAGACAAAGAAAGACTTCGTGGAGGACAAGTGATGCAGCTCTTTTTTGGGGTGGGGATATCGGCATACATATTTAAGAAATTCACCACATGAAAGCTGGCCTTGTGGCTGTTGCGATCAAACAATCTAATCGAAGACCAAGATACCCTCTATATACGCACACGCATACGAATACACGCAGACAACTGAGATATATTATGGAGTATACGACTAGACCATGATTTGAAAAATGTTTCTTTATTCTTTCACGATTTATCTTATCCGTACAGGGCATATCTAGTGATGATACAGGTTGTATATAATGAAACCCAAAAAAGGGAAGAACTGAAGCGAGACATACAGGGTAAGTGACTTAGCCAAGTATAAGTCCATCTAGATGATGGCTGTGCTTGCGCTCCTCCCGCTGCAGTCGGTCATTTCTCTTGCGTTGGTAGACGGCCCTAACCACCCGCTTGACCTGGTCTTCACCCTGGGCGAAATTGGCCTTAGCCAGTCCTACAACTGCATCGACTTGCTCTGGCGTGTAGATGAAATTCCACGTGGAAAGGAAGTCGTCTACGTCTGGGTCGATGGAGCTAGGGTGGGGAGTGAGCGGTTTTTCGGGGTTCGTGACTTCCGTGGAAGAAGTCGTATTCTCAGAGCGTTTGGGTAGATTAGGTTTCGATAGAGAGGAACCAGGTGGGAGATCGGGAGCAGATGGATTGGGAAGCAAGGGGAAATAAACGACGGCAATACCGGCATCTGGTCGCATGAGGTGGAAGTCGGACTCGGATGGGTCCTTTAATCGTGGGTCAAAGAGACGCTTGGAAGATGGTGGTTCGCCGTCAGACACCTTTTCTTCCATTGTGCCGACCCATACGTTACAGTAGCCCAGGTCGGTGTCAGGGTGATTTGCTGGGGAGGTTGTGGATGTGGACGGTGCCGGTTTGTCCGACTCCTCCTGAGCATCGGCGATTTTCTTGTTTAATGCCTCTTGAGTAATATGCCCTGCTTCGCGCAGTTTCTTTTCGGTTACATCTGCGCTCTCGCCCTCCCGAGGCCAGCCGGCTCCAATGGGCCAGCCCTTGATTCCTCGTTGCCGTGCATAACCATCAACTACCGAGAGCCAGTTCTCTTGCTTGATATCCGCCGAAGCATCAAAGGCGATGATGACATCTACATCTCGGCCAGGTCTGAGCAACGGGTATATCGGAAGATTGTTGCTCATCCCGGCATCCATGAGGCGCAAATGTTTACTCTGGAACATCGATTCAGGGCAGGAAGGAGGAAGTTGTTCTTTCATCCCCAGGGCGAAATTTGGAATCGTGGCTGGATCGATGGGATGTACTCGGATTAGATCTTGCGATTTCCCTTGGATTAAGGAATCAATGCCCCCAAATCCGGCGATTCCCTTGATGACAGGTCGGATTTCTTTATAGTAATGTGACAACGTTGCGCAGAAGGCACTCCCCCAAATGCCCATCAGCCCTGGGACGTGTAGCTCGGGGATAGGAGACGTTCCATGGGGAATTTCGTTTCTGCCCCCGTTGAAATGTCTACCAAGAGCCCAAGTCGGTATACCTGCATTGAGTTCCTCGCAGAAAAATTCGTAAGGAGTGAATTCAAACCATTGAAACCAAGCTTCCTTCTGGGACTTTCTCATCATTTTCTCAGACATTTGTTTCTTTCCCGTATCTGCATCCTCTAGTAGGGGAATTTCATGACGAACAGCTGTGTAGATTGGAAGTGGGTGCGCTCCACTAAAGAGGTTAAACCTCTGGTTGGACAACTTGAGGTCTTTGTCCGAAGCTCCGAGTTCTCCCTTTGGTACAAGCAGTCTGGCGGCTAGTAACATGCCGTATATGTCGACCAAGCCAAAGTCTGCGCCAGGGTCGCCTTTCAGCTTCTGCACCAACCCACTCAGAAGATACTTGTTGGTGGGAGCACTGGTAAGCAATTTGAGCGCTGCAGGCGGAAAAGCCATGTGCACACCAAGCCTGTTTTTTAAATGGTCTACTAATTTGTTGAAATTGCGTCCAGTGATGGAGGAGTGGTAAAGAGTCTGTAGCCAACAACTCCCACTAACACCAGCGGTATAAGTCACACAATCCCATAAACCTGCCTCCTGCGCAGCCAGATATGACCCAGTGCCTGCAACCAACGCGCGCAGGCCACCCCCCGAGCCGCACATGGAGATGACTGGCACATCATCTGGATGTATCCCCTCTTCAGGGATGTCAAGATAGGAGGCAAGGGCTTTCACTGCGTGTTGCTGTCGCTTCCGTCTAAACTCAATTTCTTCATCGCAGAGATTGTCACTGACACGGACCTTAGCGTCTTGCAGTATTTCAGGGTTCAAGTCCGGGTCGTGAGCTTCCCTCCAGATATCATCTGCCAAGGAGCCCGGTGCCATAGAAAGCTCACGCTGAAGCTTCTGCACTGTCGTGGGAAGCAATCGCGTCCAGTCCGGTGTTATGTAGTTCTTAATATTATCAAACTCAATCCATTCGGGTGAACCAACGGACTGTTTCACCCCTTCCAACTTGTGTACGATACTGGTCCATACCGAACTCGCATCCATCTCACCGCTATGGAAATTCCCCTCGACACGAGAATTCTCTTCATTATTCCTACTCGAGTTCTCTCCCATTGGGTTGTGGGATTGGTACGTGGGGGTTGTTGAATAGGCTGCTTTCGGGTCCAAAAACAAGGGAGAGCTGTATCGTGAGCTCTCAATTGAATAGAGAACACGGCCACCAACATAAACTAAGGCCACAGGAGGGGCGAACCGCAGGCAAAATGCCCTCGCAGCACCCATTTTGAGATGGGCACTACGACTGACATGAAGACAAGCCGAGGAGGACAGGAGGGGCATCCTTCAAGTACTCGTGCCTGCAGCACAAGTGGGCCAGACCCTCAGCGATCTTTCCATCATAATCGGGGCTTCAATGACGACATGTCACGTGCAGAATGTGCAGGTGTCGGAAATACTATGTTCCTACGGGGTTAACTGATTGGCGGAACGATCAAAAATTCGTTGCATTGGAACTGTTCGCTTCTGTTTTTGTGAAGTTTTTGACTACTAGTACGGATATTCCAGGGTTCTACTCCGTACCTAGGTACTAAGGTAGGTATTCTCTAATCTCTCCTCTCAAAGAGGGGTCATTGATTCCCCGCTTAATTTACATAATATAGTCTAGTTCCCAGTTTGGACTAGTGAAATAGATACTTATCTCGGAATAACACGGGATCCGAGTTACCTTTCTGAGACTAGTGTAGGCGTTGCTGCATCCCGCGGGTTTATCTGGGGCCTCCCTCTCCACTTCATCATTGAAGCCAACCCTTTATACCTATTCTATTAATTAATCAGTTAATGAGAAGCTGGCATGCTTTGTGAGGCCAGGCGCCTCGTCAGCTAGTTGCTCATCTTCTTGGATCTTTCCATCTATTGTTTATTTCCGGGGCATCATCCCTCTCAGACATGACATAACGACACCTATCTGTACAGTTGCTCGACAGTGTTGCATCCAAGTCTATAAGTTATCGCCAGCATCCGTGAAGCTATGGTGGCCCCACGGAATACCGCTTTTGCGGAGGAGAGCGCAGAGGTGGAGGTGTTGTACGCTAACCTCCAGAAGCTCAACCTCCTCACCAAAAAGATCCAAGGTTCTCTCGTCCGCCTCGAAACCGGAGGAAATGTCGTGAAGCACGCGATCGGCCCTATCTATAGCAATACACAATCTCTCCAAACTACAAACAGCAACATCGATAAGATCAATGAAGCCATCGATCGTCTTCGCCAACCTCTCGATGCAAAGAACCGGGAGGAAGGGATCATTCGCGCCGGGTAGGTGGCCCCTCCTGTCCTGTTTGATCCATGCTATGGCTAACTAGAAACCACAAAAAGACCCCAGGGCGATGATTTATCGCAATACCTCGCAGCTATGAAACGTGTGGACATTGCATTGGTGGATCTTACCTCCACGAATCTCAAGTCGAATCAGAAGGCAATATCGAACTTCACCACTTTATTGGGAATCGGGAACACAAAGCTCCAGGATTTATTGCGAATCAAGCTCGGGCAACATGTCAGCCCGATCGAACCATTACACTACTTGACAAAAGGTAAGATTTTGATTCCGAAATTGTTCCCTTACTTAGCCCAGCGGGTCCTAACGTTTCTTTGTAACATCTAGACCTTCAATTTCCATCCATTCCCAACGATAATATTGCAGAGCTGGGACCTATCTGTGCTGCTATCAGCTCCGCTGCAGTACACGCCCCATATCGTGGAGAAGGCGGCAGTCCCGCGCTTAAGATATACGCAGATATCCGCGGACCGTACATTACAACAAGCTTGCAAAACCTTGCCATTGCGTCTCTTAACACTGTCAAACGAAAAGCCACCGATGGACCATATAAACAGGGTACCAATGGTATAGGGGTTTACTCGACTGCCTTGGAGAATTTCGTCTACGCCGAACATCAAATCATATCCCAACTATTTACTGGAGACCAGCAGGGACTGGCTTTGCAGATGACCTGCCGTTCTGCGATGGTGGAATACTCTAAAACCCTTCGTGAGCTTAATCAGTACATTCGCTCGAACCTGATGACAGATTGCTTCTTAGCCTTCGAGATTATCGAGATTGTCACAGCCATGTCTTACCGAGTAGATGCCAAGACAGGCGAGCTTAAGAGCTTATTCATAGAAGCTCTCAGGCCGGTTCGCGAAACTGCCAAGTCTTCTCTCGCGGAGCTTCTGGAAGAAACCAAGCGCAAAGCCGCGGGTATTCCTATGCTTCCCCCAGATGGCGGGTCTGTACCACTAGTTAGCGAGGTTATGAGCTCCCTTACAACGTTGACCGGCTATTCTGGACCGCTAGCTTCCATCTTAACGTCTTTAGGCGATGGAAATTGGCGTTCAACTTCCAATACATCAAATACTACTCCGCTGGACGTTGGACCTGACAGTTCAACGCTCCTATCACACTTTATTCTCGACATGATCGAGGCGCTTATGATTTCATTGGAGGCTCGGAGCCGAGGATTGCACCGCTCAAAGGCCGTGCAAGGTGTTTTCCTATCCAACGTCTTTTGCATAGTGGACCGTTCCATTCGATCAAGCTCAGAGCTAGCAAAGTACCTTGGCTCTGCTGATTCTATTACGAGAATTGATACCTTTCGTAAACGTGCAACGTCCACTTATTTGGACGCGTGGAAAGAAACCTCTCAATATCTACTTGATGTTCAGTATACATCTCGAACTGGAGGCGGAAATCGCACGTCCGGTACTGTCGATTCGGGTGCTATCGTCAAGTCTCTTTCATCCAAAGACAAGGACGCTATCAAAGACAAGTGGAAGTCTTTTAACGCCAGTTTCGATGAGTTGGTAGCACGCCACAAGGCTCTCTACATGGAGAGAGAAGTCCGCACGGTGCTTGCTCGTGAGGTACAAGCTGTGCTTGAACCGCTGTATGCACGATTCTGGGATCGCTACCATGAGATTGACAAAGGCCGAGGCAAGTATGTCAAATATGATAAAGGCAGTCTCTCTGCACATCTTGCGGCGTTGGCATAAGTAGCCGCTTAAGAGGATCGTTTGTCGCACCGTTAGTTGGGAAGCGCTGTCTTTTGGGGCCGATCCCATTTTCTTATATATATAATAATTCGTCTGCTTGCATTCCACTTGGCGATTTTTCATTTTAACATTCTATTAATTCTTCTCTCTAACAGTGGGAGATTTTTTCCATACTTCTGACCTTTTGACTGTTAAGAGCTCCTTAAGAGTTTACAAGACCCCTACACATACGTCTAGTTCGCTACCAGTTGGTATATCTTCGAAAAGCTTAGCCGGAAGAATATCTAAGCTTAGCCGCAACCAAAAGCTTAGCCGGAACAATATCTCCTACAGGAATATCATATTTCCGACACCCCCCCCCCCCCACCAGAAAACGTGACTGATAAGCTCCGAACCCCGCTAGGAAAAAGTCGTAGCAAACGGGGAGCAGACGCACCTACTCAAGCAGCCCCTCATCTGTCGATTTTTCTTCCAAGCTTCTCAATTCGTGGTGAAGGTGTTCCAATTCCATTCAGATATCATCATGTCCGGAAGCAATGATGTCTACCAGACCCCTCTCAACTCGCGATATGCGAGTAAGCCCTCTCCCATACTCCCCCTCCGATTTCGGATTGACTGACGACCTTCGTCTCTTCAGGCAATGAGATGAAATATCTTTTCTCTCCCAGGAACCGATTCTCTACCTGGAGACAATTGTGGCTATGGCTCGCAGAGTCTGAAAAAGGTATTTCTTCCCTCGATGCTTGTTGCCCAAGCTATTCTTAACATTGACATTCCACAGAGCTTGGCCTACCCATCACCGACGAGGCCATTGAACAGATGAAGAACCATACTACAATCCAGGATGATGAGTTCAAGGTTGCTGCTGAGGAGGAGAAGCGCCGGAGACATGATGTCATGGCCCACGTCCATGCCTATGGCCAAGTTGCCCCCGCTGCTGCTGGTATCATTCACTGGGGTGCCACCTCCTGCTACTGCACCGATAACGCCGATCTCATCTTCCTGCGCGACGGCCTCGACATCCTCATTCCCAAGCTTGCAGTTGTCATTGATAAGCTATCTGCCTTTGCTAAGGAGTACAAGGACTTGCCCTGCCTCGGTTTCACTCACGGGCAGCCCGCCCAGCTTGTAACAGTCGGAAAAAGAGCTTGTCTGTGGATTCAGGACTTGCTGATGGACCTGAGAAACCTTGAGCGCGCACGCGATGATTTGCGCTTCCGTGGTGTCAAGGGCACCACCGGTACCCAGGCCTCCTTCCTTCAGATTTTCGACGGAGACCACGATAAGGTTGAGCAGCTCGATGAGCTCGTTACTAAAAAGGCTGGATTCGATTCTGCATTTATTATCTCCAGCCAGACATACTCCCGAAAGATTGACGTCGATGTCGCCAACGCTCTCGGTTCCTTCGGATCCACCTGCGAGCGCATTGGTATCGATATCCGTCATCTGGCCATGCTCAAGGAGGTCGAGGAGCCATTCGAAAAGGATCAGATTGGCAGCAGCGCCATGGTATGTATCTGTGTGTGAGTTACAGGGGACACTGTTCGCTCTAACTGGAGTATGCAGGCTTACAAGCGGAACCCCATGCGGTCCGAGCGTCTGTGCTCGCTTGGACGACACCTCCAGAACCTCCCCAAGGACGCTCTGGATACCTACTCCGCTCAATGGTTCGAGCGCTCATTGGTGAGATACCAGTCCCTATACATCTGGTGCTAATTTGGCTGCTAACCCTTCATTCCAGGATGACAGCGCCATCCGCCGCATCAGCATTCCCGAGCTTTATCTCTGCGCTGATGCTTGTCTTATCCTCCTCAGTAAGTCCCAGGCAGCCCCATCCATAGAATTTCGATTACTAACTCCTTCTAGACAACGTTACCTCTGGGTTTGTTGTGTACCCCGAGGTTATCAAGCGCCGTGTGAACGATGAGCTTCCTTTCATGGCAACGTAAGTCATCTTCTAATCTTACCCGTTCTGCGCTTCGTACTAACAAAGTTTCTAGTGAGAACGTAAGCAAAACCCTAGAAATCATCAAAATACTGCAAGAAAAAAAAAATGAAGAAGCTAACCTGCATAGATCATCATGGCCTGTGTGAAGAAGGGTCTCTCTCGCCAGGATGCCCACGAGGAAATCCGTGCGTTCTCACACCAGAACAATCCCCAGTCTCCATACTCGTGCTTTCTAACTCTTGACCATCCACAGGTGTCCTCTCCCACCAAGCCTCAGACAACGTCAAGAAGCAGGGAAAGAACAACGACCTCCTTGAGCGCATCCGCCGTACCCCCTTCTTCAACCCAATCCTCGCAGAGCTCGATGCCCTCCTCGACCCCAGTACCTTCGTTGGCCGTGCTCCTCAGCAGGTTGAGAAGTTCACTTCCACCGAAGTTAAAAAGGCCCTGCAGCCTTATGAGTCACACCTCGTCAATGCCGAGACCTCTGCCCTCTACGTTTAGAGTTTTTCATATAATACTAAATATTTATAACCCTGTTAAGTTAAAACGCGAACTCAAAAACGGATCCTGTTGTCAGATGACAGAAATAGATTCCATTTGGGAGAAAATATCTGAGAAGACTTACTATACAGAGATTTTGTATTAAAAAACACAGGCCGGGGCCAAAAGGCTAGAAGGAAGGAATGGACTTGAGTGTGTGCATAATAATGATTTGATGGCATGAGATGATTAAGTTTTTTTTTACAATAGCTAACTATCCATAAAGGCCCTGCCTGGTAAGCATAAACAAGCAGTGTGAGGAGCAGGTCATAAAAAACAATCTATATCTATGAAGGAATAGTTCCCTCCTCCCTGCCTTATTTCGTCATTTATCACTTTGCGATACTCTTTTCTTCTTAAAACCGAAAATCAATTGCGGCTTTTTATTTGGAAAAAAAAAAAAAAAAAAAAAAAAAAAACTCGGTGGAAATGTATCAAAAGATCTCCCGTGGATACATGCTGTTGGCTCTTTCTCTGTCTTCCATCTAGAAATTATAGGTATTTTCTTTTTATATATAGTTTCTGGCATCTCCAATATTCATTTATATTTGGTGAGGTAATCCGAATATATTGAAAAAGAAAATAGCCGAAAATAATAGAGGATGAGTTTGAGGGAATAAAACAAATCACACTGTGTGATTGTAATGGTATAGGCGCACTAAAAAAAAAAAAAAAATGCATGAGGGCATAACATGCAGGAGGATGCATGAATGAGGCGAATAAGACAATGCCATACATCTCCCCAAGTAAATAAATAAAATGATATATAATAAAATAAAATAAAATAACCACCATGGCGGAGGTTAAATTTGGGTACCTGTGGGCAACTGATCCCGAGCCAGCATACTGTGGCTAAGATGCCCGGATATTCTAAAGAAAAGATAACCAATTGATGATCTGTGACATGTCAGTTTGACATACGCATAAAGCGGTGTAACACGGAGAACTTTACCATCATCGCTTGCATCAAAGCCACCTTCTCAACGTCGAGCATCCCAGTCCAGCTTTCTGCCTGCAATGTCACGTTGTACGTGCCCAAAGTATCAATGCCTCTACTTTGTGCTGCCCGAGCGGTACTTTCCATGTATTGCGAACCTTTTGCGTGGGTATTGTCGCTGGGAAGTTTCTGGTGGCCAGTCGTAGGGCCAATTCAGAGGAACTGATGGAATTTTTCGCGCACTAGATTTAGTCAGAGCAAGCCATTCATTCGTCCCTGCTGCCTTTTCGCGGTGGGCAGCAAATACGAAGTTGACAGAGCAAGGCTCTGAATGACAGGAATAGGCTTAGTCTTCTCATACAGACGAGTGAGTAGGTAGTGGAATTTCTCATGTGTGCTACGCGAGGCAGGTGAGCTAGTTACGTACTAATGAGTTTCCTAGGTTACAGAAGAAAGCTAGACGATGGAGGACTTACGGTTTGAGCAGAGGTACGGATTTCAAGTCTTCTTACTTCCGCCTGGGTAGTAGAGGCCTTCGCTTGATGTAATTCGCAACGATGCACATGCAGGGTTGGTAAATTGAAAATCACATTGGCAATTGGCATGGAGTTCCTTGTCATCTCCCACTCTTTCAAGGAGCCCGTTCTAGGATTTTTTTTTCGAAGAAGGACATTGAATTCAGCATAAGCATGGACAAGGGAATCGTCACCGATAAAACCGACACCATCAAATCGGTCCAGAATCCCACAGATCTCAGCATCAGTGTACCAGTGATGAAAGCAGCCTTTTCTTCCAAGTCAGTCACCAGAAGACGAGTACGAATGGCCGGCCATGCAGGTGAGATGGTGAAAACACAGGCGCAATTGGGGATTCACTACCTTGAGAGGTATAGGCGGCACCAAAGCCATGGCGGCCGCCGTTGCTCATCGAGCTAAGCAAGGACTTGCGAGTTTGGCAGTATGACTTGCTTAAAGCAGGCTCATCACCGGGGTGAGGGGCTAGGTAAAGAGATCGGGAAGAGATGCTATACTCTTGATGACCCACGTACTGAGCTAATAAACTGTAAGCAAAATCCAAGGAGTATGGCCTGCTATTTATTGAGAAAATACCCAAGGATGCACCCAGAAACTTACTCATCCCCAATGTTTGAACTGGGCGCATTTTTTGAGAAATAAGTGAACGGGAGATAGAAGATATCGCGAATCAGCCAAACAATGTACAGCACCGACAATACCCACAAGGATGCCATCAGTTTGTATGTGGATGAACGCCAGGTAACTCTGCGAGTGAGTCTTCGTCCACCTGGCCCTTCGATCGGGCCACGCTGTTGTGGAAACGTATTATTTTGTTGCATTCCGGAGTAAGGATATGCCATAACCCCGTTCATTGACGATGAGGCCAATGATTCACTGTTGGAGGCACGGCGACGAGACATCTTGTGTTTTATACATGAACATGCAGTCAGACCGAAAAAAAGGTAGTTACAGGGGCGGACCTTTAGTAAACGCTCATCTGTGAGGGGAGGCTTTTAGTGCAGGTCCCTTGGCTGCCCTCTAGCGGCAAGAAACGAGACCAAAAAAAAAAAAAGAAGCGCGAGAGAGGGCGAAGGGCGAAGAAGACAACAAGAGGAATAATAAAAACAAACTGGAAAAAAAATTTACTGGGGGTCCGAAGGATGATCGATCCACCAAATTTAAAAGGGAAAAAAAAAAGAAAAAAGAAAAAACCTCGAGGGGCAAGGAAAAGCAAGAGCTGAAGCTGATGGGGAGAAAGAGAGAGAGAGAGAGAGAGAGAGAGAGAGAAAGAAAGGAAGAAAAGAAGTTCAAGGAGGGGCGCCGACTTCTAGAAAGACCGTGTCTCTATCGTGCGTTCTGTTGTATTTCCTCTTTGGGACAATGTCAGTTTTTCTTACTTCTTTTGCTCCTCATTCTCTCTCTTTCTTTCCTTCCCTCTGCCTAAAGGTCTCTCAGGGATACTCACTCTATCTTCTTTAACGTGCTCTTCCTATTCTACTTCCTTCCCGTCTTTCTTCCTCCTTTTTATTTGATCCTGCGCAACCGATATGTTAGGTACAAACGATTCTCCGCCACACGCAACAAATTCCACCCACTGGGGAGACCAAAAGAAACGGACAGGGACCGCCTTAAATGAATCAGAGTCAGAGTCAATGTCAATGTCAATGTCAGGGTATAGCTTAGTCTTGCACAGCACAAGTGCGAAAAAGGCAATCTGAAATCTGGGGGATCCTTCCTATATATCGGCTGTATCGACGAGTAAGTGGACAGACAGCCTTGCGAACCTAGCAATAAGCGCGATAAAATAATAAATTCAAGGTCGAAAAAAAAGTACTGATGATGATAAAGGAAAAAGAAAGTACAGGGGATTAACTTCGGGTGTGCAAGCTTGCATCATAAAAATGATTTCCGCCAGCTTATGCTGCACGACTTGTCTATGTCTAACTGGATCCACCCTCCAGCCTTTTTCAACCCAACTCTTGATTTATCTTGTGATAATAACTTTATAAGATAAACCCCCCCCCCCCCCTTCCTGAGTACCGAGAACCCCCAAGCTGACGGCTTTCCGGGTGGTGAATGTGACGATGGTATCTGCCTTGGGGGGAATATAAACACACGGAGATAAAGGGGAAATAATCAACAGTGTGTGCTTTTGGTATAGAAAATCCACGGTGAGCCAGTGAGATATCTCGCCAGCAGATTCTCAACCGCCAACTACTCTGGTTGGTTGGATCGACGGGTGTCAAAATGCAAACCAGACTCCACTAACTGCTCCGGACTCGCACAAGGCTTTGGGCGGAAGAGAGAATAATGACCCAACTTAGCGCTTTTAGGTGCCCCCGATTTGGTTTCAAGAAGCACCTAAACGAGAAAGGAAATCCTCTTAAGGTTAAAATAAAGCCAAAATCGCCTACCATTCCGGGGAGAAAGGCTCCCGCTTCTCTCTCCACCTGCTCTTAGCCTATTTCTCTCGGTTTTTCTGCCCTTGCGAGTCTCGAGAAGAGGTGGAACGCCACGGTAAAACAACAAAAATAGTTGGGACAAGACCTTCAATGGTCATGGTTGGGTACCACAAAACCACCCTTGCTATTTTTATGCCACAGCGTCAGACTACGGCCTTCTTATATTCCGTCAGAGTTCCAGGGCGTTTAATTGGCTAGTATGCTGGGCTCTGTGTTGGATCATCGTTATTCTTAATTACTGTTGTATTAACTACTCCGTAGCTAACAGGTTGTTTACAGAGGGCATCTCTGGTCCCTGTCTAAGCCTTTTCCATCATTGTTCTCCTTTGAGATCGCCCCTTTTACCAAAGGAGATAGCCACTAGATCTTCTGCAGATTCATTTATCCAAGAATGCCTATGGGAATACTCCGTACTCTGAACTGCAAGGGATAATCCAGATCTACTCCGTACACAAATCACGCTGATAGTAGGCGATTAGTTACCCAGCTTCGTAGGGCTTAATAAACAACCTACTTCTTTGAGCTACGAAAAGATTCCCGTCAACAACAGCAGTACTTGGAAATACAATTCTCCAGATTAACCCCGAACTCGAGGATATTCAGGAACCAAGGGTATGTAAACCTTAAATAGGTAGGACTTTTGATGGGGGAAAATACATCTCCCTGATATGATGCAGTAGAAGTGAGAGGGGAAATAAGGGGCTTGCGGTCGTCAATTCTGGGGCCCTTCTTTGGTTACAGAACAAAATTATGGCCTGACTAGGAGCTAGTATTATTGGTAATCTGGTCGACTACTCCGTATTGAGCATCTCATCCGGATCGGAGGGAAAATTGTCGCAGTGGTAGCGACTCGAGTCGAGCCATTTTCGGGCGAAGGGGAGAGATCCGGAGAAAGGTTTACATTCTCTTCGGCAATTCCACTCCAGAAGGGAAGAGACACTAGTCTTCCCGGAAGGTGGGGGTGAAGGGGGGTCTCGCGCTTGACGAGCTCCCAAGCCGCGGGTGGAAGATCCTCGGAAGCAGTCGAAAGAGCAATAAAGGTGGACAATTCCGGCGATGAAGCACCTGCTGAGGTAGTTTTCAAGGGTGTTTTGTTGTCAAAATTGCAAAATGAGAGTATGAGAATAAGGGAAATTCGAGGATGGAAGTTAAGGTGATGCATTTTTCTTCAATGGTCCGATTCTCCCAACGACGATTTCCTTTTTCCTCCTCGGTCAAGCACGGGATCGACCCCCACACGTGACCCCCCGGGATTTTCGACTCTCCACACCAAAGGAGTCATTATTGTCTCTCCAGCCAGCGCAGTCACTGCCGTTACTTTCCTCTTCAAACCGGTTACTGCATCCCTGATACTTATGGGACCCTGACCCAGCTCTGTATCTTCTTGTCCTTTCTATCTTGTTTGTTTCTCTTCTTCTTGCCACCTCTGCTTCCACCTTAAACGAGCTCGCTGTCTCTAGTTTGGGGGGACAACCTCGGCAGTCGCCCAAAAGCCTCTCAACACCATACGGTTGCTTAACGGTCACCACAACCCGCAACCCCCCCCCCCCCCCCCCCACGTCACGAGCTCTACCTGATTTACTTATTTTTCTTTCTAATTTATATTCTATTTACCTTCTCCCATTTTCCATTTCACTCCTCTCTAAATTACTGGGATTTTCTTTTTTTTTTAAACACGGCCGTTGGGCCTGACTCATTCACAGCACCATGTGGAAGCCGTCGGAGCGTCTGATGGAAACCATCAGGCATTATGCCAGTTTCCCAGCGACTGGTGTCTCCCTTCGACAGATGGTTCAATTCGGCGACAGGCCGTCAACTGGTGGGTTTATTCTCTTCTCCCAGAATACGTTCCTTCCCATTACCCTGCGATGATTTGCGATCGCTGATCCCGTATCTGCCTTCCGAAGTAGGAACTCTCTTTCGTGCCTCCCAATTCCTCTCCGAAGAACTCCCAATCCGCCTCGCCCATCGCGTCCAAGACCTTGGAGAACTTCCCGATGGTCTCAGCGAAATGCCCTCCATCAAGAAGGTGCAGGACTGGTACGCTCAATCATTTGAGGTATGACTCATCCACTCATCCCACCAAATACGTTCCATTCATTGTCCGTTGCTAATACCTGCTGCAGGAAATCATAACCCTACCTCGACCAACCCTTACTCAAGAAGTTAAAGCCCGTCTTTTGCGCCCCGGGAGAACAAACAACGGCGTCTCCAAGATTCTATCCGAAACTACACAAAATCCGAGTATCCGCGAGGGCCAATATCGGTCTTCTCCCACCTCGGTAAATGGCAATGGCAATGGAAAGACAGCTGTCGCTCGAAGATACTTTGTTCCATCCGATGATCAAGGAAATTGGCCCCCCGAACTCAATGATTATAACCAGCGTTTCGCGAAGACATTGCAACATATCAAACGGCGCCACGACAGTGTTGTGACTACTGTAGCACAAGGTATCCTCGAATGGAAACGAAAGCGCCAACGCCTGCAGATTGACTCAACCATCCAGTCCTTCCTTGATCGCTTCTATATGTCCCGGATAGGTATACGTATGTTAATTGGTCAACACATTGCTTTGACGGAACAGACCCACGTTCGCCATCCACACTACGTCGGAATTATATGTACCAAAACGAACATACGGGAAGTTGCTCTCGAGGCTATCGAGAATGCCCGCTTTGTTTGTGAGGATTACTATGGTCTTTTTGAAGCACCTAAGGTTCAGCTAGTCTGCAAAGACGACTTGAACTTCATGTACGTGCCCGGACATTTGTCTCACATGCTCTTTGAGACCTTGAAGAATTCCCTGCGCGCTGTCGTCGAGGCACATGGCACAGACAAGGAGGCCTTCCCGGTTACCAAAGTCATAATCGCCGAAGGAAGAGAAGACATTACAATCAAGATTTCAGATGAAGGTGGTGGAATCCCTCGTTCTGCCATACCTTTGGTTTGGACCTACATGTATACTACCGTGGAACAAACCCCCAACCTAGATCCGGATTTTGACAAGAGCGACTTCAAAGCTCCCATGGCGGGCTTTGGTTATGGATTGCCAATAAGTCGTTTGTATGCTCGATATTTCGGCGGTGATCTAAAATTGATCAGTATGGAAGGGTGAGATTCAATATTGTTTTCGTTATTTCCCGCTATTTGTGACTGACATAGCAACATTAGGTATGGAACTGATGTTTATCTTCATCTTAATCGCCTTTCCTCGAGCTCGGAACCCCTTCAATGACAATTACCAGTCATGAGGGATGGTCGCGTCCGGTTTTCTACTTCCCACCGACTTCATTCTTTTTATTCGGAACCCGACCCAGCACCATCCCAGGGATTGACGCCGATGAACATGCAAGCGGTTCGCGCACAAATGCGAACCAGGGAAGTTTCTGAGCGGAAGCAGGTTGGAGATGCGGAAAGCCTGCTCAACGTGGAAAAGTTAGAAAAATAAGACCCCTGCCTGCAAGTCGATATTATCCCAAATTTCCACGAACCAAACTGGGGAATTCCTTGTGTTGCTCTAAGCTCGCGGAGGCTTCCCCCGGTCGTTTGCCCAATTTTGAAAGTGCTAGAAGTTGCCGTGTCGCAATATACACCAGCTGAGGGTGGTCATCATACCCGCCCAGCATGTCGCGCGTTTGATGCGAAGGTGCATATTCAACCTACCATACTAGGACATTTTTGGCTTTTTTCTGCTATACGTCCCTCGAAGATGTTACGGCATTCAATTGGCTTTCGTCGACATTGCATAAACGATAGGGATTGGAAGGCCGTTAGCTATGTGCTGTTTATGACCTGGTCTGCAAGATACCCTTTTGGTAACATTCTAAGAGACGCGGAAGCCCATTTATGGAGGTTCAGGTAACCTCCCTTTGTAAATACGCAGAGATTCTGTCTCTACCTCATTATTCTTCCAGGCCCTTTCTTCCTTCTTTCTGTCCTCGCTATTTCGCTTTTTTTTTCTTCTTCTTTCTTCTTCTTTCTTTTCTCTTTTTATCTATTGTTTTTACTCATATTCTCTTGCTGTATTATACTTTTTCAGTATTTTGGGTATGCTGAATGGCCACGGATAGGAAAACGAGCCAAATTAGGAATAAGGAAGGGAATTTGGATTTTCAGTTCGGACATTGCTCTAAAGCATTGGCAATAAAAGTAGGGGAAATACTACCAAAAAAAAAAAATTCGTGTCATTAGTAGCTGTAGTGCATAATATAATGTGTTCAGAATCAGTATCGCTCTTCATACTTGCACACCGTCAAGACGGCAATCCTTGTAACGAAACTCCATGATCTTGTCTTTCCGCGCCACTCCATCGCCTCCTTCTATCTCGTTGTTGTCGCCCTGAGGAAACTCTCCTATTAGCCCTCGCCCGATCGGGGGTCAGTTTCCCCTTCACCTTTGATGCTGACGCGGGCGACGAAAGGCCAGGTGACCCCGCCGCGCTCGAAGGTCCAGTATCAGCGTCGGGGCGGTACCAGCCCGTATCATCAGTCTCACAAACATCAACGATAGCCCTGGAGACAACTTTTGAAACATTCATATGCTCAAGTTTAATGTTATGGTAAAGAGCACTGGAGGAGAGAGAAGAGGAAGGTCGTTGGATTGTGAATTGGTCGGCGCGGATGGATGCGGCGACATCAGGGTCTTCAGGGGCCATTAGCTTTGCGAGAAAGCGTCGACGGGCTTGAGGAATGGTCTTTTCATATGATTAGAGACTTCAATTTATGAAAAAAAAAAAGGGGGGGGAGGGTTTTGAGGTCTCACCTCTTGCGCAGCTAATGCCTGGATGGTAAGTATTTCGCGATCCATCAAGACGCAAAGAGCCGCGTGGCGTTCCTCGCGCAGTCGACAGCGGACTTTCTTTTCTTGTTCGATTGAGGTATGGTAGGCTGACAGCGGGGGTCCTAGGCGATCCAAAGATGGACCAACGTCGCCGTTATATCCTGTAAGAGTTCGCTCCACGTTAGACGAGGTTCTAGCTGCTACAAGAGCAAGACTAAAACTTACGACGATTATAGCCTCCCATTCCGCGTCGAGGAGCCTGTCGACTGTGGGTTTCTACCTGCATAGAATCGGCCTCGTCTTCTTCTTCTTCTTCTTCCTCCTCCTCTTCTTCGTTTTCGTCCGATTCCGAGTCGATCACGATTGGATTCTGGTTGTAATGCCATGGAGCAGCATTGTTTGGATTGAACATATCTGGGGCGTGGGGCAAGTAAAGCCCGATAGCTATAGTTATCGTTTAAGCCGGTCTTTAAGTGGTCGCCAATTGCGATATAAGGGATAGTATGCTGGTATGGAACCGGGTTTATAATGAAGATTGATTTCTCAGGTTAATGAAGCAACAAAATTAAAACACTCGCCGGACGACGAAAAGATTTCGAAGTGAAAGTGATACATCGATTGCAGCTCCAGACGCCGAACTCCACATGAACGAACGAACGAACGAACGATTCGCGACATGACGCCAAATATGCTGAGTCAGCCAGGATCACGGCCCACCCCGCATTAACTATACCTAGGTACAATTAATTCAGACATCTATTTACTATCCAGTTCGCACCTACAACAGTTGTCTTACTATCCTCCACATTAAGATCAAAGGCATTTGAAACTTACGAATCTAGGGTCTACACTCTTACCTTGAAAACGGCTCCAAGGTCTCAAACGTACAGGAGGGCAGTCTTCAGCCGCCGGCACTGTTTGAGAAGATTGACACCACTCCATTCAAGATATCAATGACACAATGACTGCGGTCATGGAGGTGAATAACAGTGGTCATTAAAATGAGAGCAGAGCCTCCATAGTGTGAGGCAGGGTTTGAACAAAACCAGAATCATTCTGCAATAATATGCAAACTAACAGAAGAAGCCCTACTCATTTCATTGCCAATTGTCGGTACACACCCAATCAATCCACGAAGTAACTACATACATGTCAGACTTCGTTGGGGAGCCCTCAATCATTGACATCACACGGCACATATTGGGAATATCCATCAATGGTTGGTGGGAAAAGCCCCATCCTTCCCCCGCATTGGTTATTGAGGCCTGCAGCCATAGGAGAGATCAGAGAAATGGTAGTCAGATCGACTTTCCCGGCTAAACTGAATATCTCAACAACTCCGCCTATCCTATTGGGTGGTGTGCATTTGCCTCCTTTTCTCCGCATTTCACTTGAGTTTTTGGCTCCCCAGTATGAGACCTGTGATGTCCGGGATATCCAGACTTGGCCGAATACTTCATGCCAATTGTTTCCCCATGTACTCCAATGTACATTCAAGTGGCTCCTTCGGTCCAGTCTACACCGAAGACCCAAGTCTGGGTTTTGCGGGGATTTGACCACAAAACATTTATTTATCTCAACTGCTAATCGTCAAGTGCCCATCCCCAATATTGCGGGAATGCTAGCATATATAAGATGTGGTTCATTTCTTTCGTCTCTAGCTTGCTACTACTGTTCTTTCCTGTTATAGGGGCTACTGGGAATGGCGAGAAAATCAACCGCCAACGCGTTGTCCATAATTTCAACCCTGTTCGCACCAACCTGTCGAGTACAACGCCCATCCAGGTTGGCAACGGAAACTTTGCCTTTGGGGCTGATATCACTGGTCTTCAAACTATTCTTCCTTATAATATTCTCTCTTCATGGTGTTGGTGTAATGACTCTCTCCCTAAAGTTCCAGGGCAGGAAAATCCATCCGGCTTTACTGGTCTGGACTGGTGGACCCAAGGGAGATTAGTCAATTATGATATGCCAAACCCTGCTGAGGACGTTATCTCTACCTGGCTGAGAGCAAACCCGCATCGCGTCAACCTAGGAAGGATTGGCTTTCTCTACGACAGAGAGAACATCTCACTGGCGGATTTATCAGAGATGTCGCAAACCCTAGATCTCTACAATGGGATTCTAAGCTCGGAATTCGTTATTGGTGCTGAAAAGGTCGTCGTACAAACTATAAGCAGCCCAAACACAGATACATTGGCTGTTCAGGTTGATTCAGAGCTTCTACGTAGTGGCAAGCTTAGTGTTTTCTTCGATTATCCTCTGACAACTGGCGCGTCGTCATTTGAGGCCCCGTTTGTAGGCAACTGGGATGCCGTGTCTAATCACACAACAAAGATGTCATCTCCAAAGCCTGGGCATGCAGTTATTGAACATAATCTCGGGGGAACTACTTACTACAATATCATTTCATGGTTTTCAGGTGGACACCTCACAGGCCCCATAACAGGCACTCACCGATATGTTCTCCAGCCTTCCCGGAAAAATACAATTTCGTTCATCTCCACATATTCTCCAGACCAAGTGCATGAATATGGTTCTTTCAGAAGCATAAAAACAGAATCGATCTCTTGGTGGCAAAATTTCTGGGAAATCAGGGTCGTTCGTGGACCTCACAGTGACTCAAGACGCGGATGCTAAGGAGCTCCAGCGACGAACTATCCTTTCACAATATCTGCTAGCCGTGAACTCTGCTGGCAATGATCCTCCTCAGGAGTCTGGTCTTCAGAACAATGGCTGGTACGGTAAGTTCCACATGGAAATGGTCTTCTGGCATTTAGGCCACTGGGCCAGGCGGGGGAAATGGGATCTTCTCAACCGCAGCTTGGGGGTCTATAGCCATTTCCTTCCATCCTCAATTGAACGTGCTCAGGAGCAAGGGTATAAGGGTGCACGTCTCGGCAAGATAAGCGACCCGTCTGGACGTTCAGCACCTGGAGAGATCAACGCCTTGCTTATCTGGCAGCAGCCGCATGCAAGGTATTTCGCTGAGCTCGAGTACCGCTCCTTTCCCACCATGAAGACACTCAAGAAGTGGGATTATATCCTCACAGAGCTCGCTGAGTTTATGGTTTCGTATGTGTGGTGGAGCACATCAACCAATGTCTACGATCTAGGGCCTCCTCTCTACCCCTCGTCTGAGAATACCAATCCTAACACTACGTATAATCCAACTTTTGAGCTAGCATATTGGCGTTTGGGTTTGAAGATTGCATCCACGTGGAAACTACGGCAAAATGAGCCTGTTCCCACTGAATGGACGCACGTGCATGAAAATCTAGCTGCTCTCCCCACCACTGACGGAGCCTACGCTATCAGCGCAAACCTTCCAGATATGTGGACTACCTATGACTATATTTCAGATCACCCTAGTCAAATTGCAGTCTATGGTTTGCTGCCCCCAACACCAGGCGTCAATATTACTGCTGTCGGCGCAACGATGGAAAAGATTTCGCAGGTGTGGAATCTGACCAACCCTGTCTTTCAGTTTGATGACGTAGGGAACCCTCTTGGTGGAACACGAGTGCCAACACCGTATTTTCCTGCTTCATCTTCCATGATGCTAGCGATTGCAATGATGGCTGGCGGATGGGATGGAAGCGAGGGGCCTCATTTCCCTGCTGGGTGGAATGTTAAGGTAGAAGGGTTTGTACCAGGTCTTTAAGTCAAGATTATTCGGATTCATTTGCTCTAGTGTAGCCACAGACTACACGCACTTGCAGATTTGCTATCAAGAAGCTATGTGTGTGGGTCATCGTTCTCCATGTTAAATATTGACTATTGTTTTAAAATATCTATAGTTGGTTTCTTTCTCTGTTCCTTGAGTTTGGAGAGAGAGAGAGAGGTACATCCGTTGATGCTAGAAATATCGACGAAAGCATTCTTAGAACAAACCATCCAAGTGCGCGCAAGCTCGACCTCAAAAAGATCTTCTGATCTATGACTGGCCCGTACATAACGAGAACTCGACATCGACCAAGTCAACTGCAATTGTCTAATCCTGGGGGTCCCCACACTCTCCACACAAGCTTATTCCCCCGCATTTGTCCATCCCATTGATCCCTGCCCTACTTTTCGTGGTTTCTTTTCTTTTTTTTTTTTTTTTTTTTTTTTTTCAGAAGCAGAAAACAAATTAGGGCATGGATTCGGTCAAGACGCGCTGCCAACTCTCGGAAAGTGCGTTGCGATGGCTCAATCACCGGGTTCCCATGCACAAACTGTCGTTTGGATGGCAGGCCATGTACTATTCTTGATGTATATTTAGTACATATATTATACAAAATATTTTGAGTTGTTGAAGTCAGTTATATTTTCGGGGTTTCTCCTGCATAATAATAATGGCTTGCCGTACATAGCCGTACATAGCACAACACAAGTCAAGCCCGGATGGAATTTCCACCCTCAATGATCAGACCTCAAACAGCGGGTCGATTCTACCACGACGACTGTCTGTCGATACGCTCACATTGATATTCTTCAGATTACCCATTTATATATATTCATATATATATAGATAACCATGAAGTCCTGACGAGGCACTAGTCTGTCTAGTCTTTGAGATATGATTTAGTCTGCCAAATATGGACCACGACTCAACAGAACAGAACGTATCAGTATCTATTCTTGAGTATTCAGGAAGACAAAGTAAAGTATATAGACTTGTAAAAAAACAATCGCATCTCCTCCTGTATTAACTGCCATCATCATCATCATCAATGCCGCTGGATAGAAAGCCTATGTCATTGCCAACTCTCTCTCTCTCTCTCTCTCTCTCTCTCATCACCTGTTTACCAAGTCAACATAACATGCCTCAACTTTCCGTTTCCTCGAGAAATTTCCTCGCCCTCTCATTCGTTGGAATGGTGTGTGGTGCGGAAAACTTCATTTTTAGAGCTTCTTTGTCTTATTATCTTGTGCTACCTTAGGAACCGGTAACCTACATAACGTAGGGGGGGGGGATGCAATTGGCCCTTGGTTAACTAGTCAACTTGCTGAGCAGGATAGGTGATCCTGTTTCTTTTCTTAACTTATCATGTTACTGTCTGTCGTCTTGGACTATCCTCTGCGGTATCTCGCTGAAAGGAGGGTGGCTCAATTGGAAGATCGGGGAAATCACAGGGTGAACTTAGAACTTGGGGAGCGTGAATGGAGTGATTTGATTTGTAAGAGGGAGGCTATGTTGTTTATAATGAAATATAGGGGAGCATTGTAGGAAATAGGGTATTTTACTGGGAAGGTGATTAAAAGGGGAGAGTACGGAGCATAGGTTGTGAGTTAACAAAGGCTTGGCTAGCCTCGCTATGAATGATATAAATAACGTGAGATACATTTTCCTGAATGGTAGGATTTGGTAAAAAAAAAAAAAAAAAAAAAAGGGAGGGAGAGGTGGTTAGAGAGAGCCATTTTCAGCCTCCAGCTAACGGTCACATTGTTTTCCAGGCTCTGACTATGCCCGTAAGCCCTAGAAACGAATTTTGGAATACAGAGAGAGAATTTTGCATGTTGAATAAAATTGGTGTCAGTAATATCCCACAGTACATTGAAACAAATGGCAGAGGTGAGATTAACCTCGCAAACTAGCGTGGAGAAGAAGAAGATCATGTACGGGGGAAGAAGCAAAGAACAAACACCATTAACCTGCCACGCCCAACGCCAACGGATGATGCCGCTAAAAACGACTCGGAGAATCCTCATTCGACAGGGACCACCAGGGAAGAGAAAGGAAGGAGGGAAAAAACTGCGCGAACTGGGTGCGTCTCTTGAGGTGGAGAAGGCATACATAGCTAACATTTGTGCATGAGAGTATTTTGGGGCCAGTCGTATCCCGCGGCAGACCTATCGTTGAGGAAAGTCATGTCAGGATGAGGTTCGGAAAATAGAGGGCGGCGATACATACCAGGATGTTTTGTTCATGTTATTATACGCGACGGGATGTTGAGCAATATACTCGGTCGTTTCGTAACCGTTTGGGTCACAGGTCATGCTCATGTTATCCGGATCCTGGTAGATACGGATATAGTCAAAGCGCATGTAAGCAGGCATGTACTCCTCAATTCTCTTGTTGATCGGAGCAAAGTTCCACGCCATCCCCAGGTTCATGACGATGGACATTGGCTCCATGGGAATCACTCGCTGGCCAACATTGGCGTTAGGCCCCAGTGCTTTGCCGTCAAGAGTCCAGGTCTTGTCCCCCCCCACGAACCAGGTCACGTTTCCCTCCGCGCCGGGGGTATACTCAAAGGCGTAAACTTGGTACTCAGTACCATTGTACCACTTGTTGTTGAGGGTTGTAAGACCAGACATGGCCTGTTGGTAAGGTCCACCTCGGTAGGTGTTGATCTCGGTGACGTGTGGGTTATACACAGCGGTAAAATCTACTTCATTGTCAGACCCAACCGCATCCATGAAAGTTGCAGATAAGGCGCTCACCATAATCAGGCATGTACCAAACATCATAAGGAGCCATCTGCAAGCTCTGCGAAACCGACCCTACCACATGTTTCCCCTCCTTATCGAGAGCCATAACGCTAGCTTCAATCACATCGATTTCAGGAGCACCCCTGGAATAGCCGGGGCTGGGATGATCCGAACCAGGACAAGTACATGATGGGAGACGCATTCCGGGCAGCCAACTAATACCGTCGGTGGAGCTTTGGTTGGGTGTGATACCAGCGTCACACACGTTAGAGTAACTATACGGCCACATCCCGTCGGTGGTGGCCGCATAGCCAGGTCTGCCCAAGTTTCCCATTGCCCAGAATCCAGGCCACAAGCCAGATATCTCGCCGGATCCTGGAAGCGAGATGCTAGCTTCCAAGCGCCCACCAGAAAAGCAAAGCTTATTCCAGCTTTGCAACATACCAGATCGGTACCTCAGGTCGTGGTTCGTAAAGTTGTCAAATCGGATTTCCAGCACCCCGTCTCTCGTAGTAACTGCGTCAGGATCGTACCACTACAATAAAATTAGCTGGAGGCTCCATTGAGGGGGCAAGCAGAGTACCAACCTCTAGATCCTGTGTAACGCCATACCATAAATCCATAGCTTGGTAGTAAGGATCGTCCCCGTCGTAGAACGTTCGGCCCGGCGTATTAAATTCATCAGAGAACTGCCAAGTAGATGAGTTAGGAAAAGAACCCTCGTAACCGACCAGATATCAACCATGTCTAGCTTACAGCCAATTGCCACTCCTTTCCATCCGCTGCCTTCTTCTTGTACGCCGATTCTGGCGTATCTGGGTCTATCAATCCCGTGCGTATTTTTGTGAGCAAAGGTCGATCGCCGACGTCGAGACATAGCGTATCGCCCGCTTCGCATTTTGGACCCGGTCTCTTAAACCCACCCATGGCGGTTCTGTATGGTTCAAAGTCAATGCAAGGCATATCTAAAGTAAAAATGAGGAAGGGGGGGGGTTACAAGTCCTTACACAACAGGGTACCCGACGAAGAGAATCAAAAAGCCTACACTGACCAGAATCAAACCACCAACATTGATCATGCCTCGTGCGTTCCAAATATCGCACTCTCGGTCCCTATCGCTTGCGTCTGGGTTATGCAGGTAGTCATCCTTTTCCTCATCTTCCGGGAAAAGCAACAACCCTTCGGTTGGCATGATGTTGAACTTCTCCGTCACTGTTTGTGTATTCACGTCATTCTCATCGCTTTCTGCGTGGGATGGCGCTCGGGATTGGTCAAACTGACTGTAAGCATAGCCCCTTGTGTCATAACTTGCTGAACTCCAGCTGGTCCGGCGAGACGAGAGTATAGAGAGGTTAGGGGAGCGTATATGATCAAATTCGCCTCGAATATGATGCGGCCGCGGTGGTATCAAGAATTCGGTCGACCCAACGTGGTTCGATGATGCATACATCGTCTGGATGGTTCCAGTCGAGGGCGACTCTATTATGGTAGGTGCAGTAGGCGTCAATGGACGTCCAGGGAGTTCTGATATGTGATTTGGGATAGAAGGACAGCGGCTTTCATCTATGCGGCTGTTCTCTTCCTGGAAAGGATTGTGTTGTCCTGAATTGAGACGAATGTGAGGCGTCGCTGCGACGGGCTGGTCGGGTGGAATTTCTGCCATTATGTAGGCGACTGTTTGTGTCTCTCAAGCTGCGAGTAAAGTGTGTGTGTGTGTAAATCCTCCAAACTTCTGCCACCTGACAGCTCCAATTCACTGGCCACGAAAACTCTTCTCTTAATCTTGTCTCATTCATATGAACCTTCTCTAGGCCGGCTTCCACAAGGGACGATATCAACTTCCGTGTCCAGGCAGGTCTAGTTTAGCGGCGCTTCCATTGATCAACACTCTTCCTAGTTCTTTGGGAAAGAAATTAGTTAATGACGGCCTACACAGAGCAAATCAAGTAAGTTCTCGTACCGTAGAGAAACACAGATGCAAGCGAGGCTAATGTTTCGACTCGACTGTAAACACACGATAACGAACGGACGCGACACGAGATGTCCTCTGAAGTTACCCCAGGTACTGAGATAAAAATATCAAGCATCCACACGATCAAGGAGGACAAAAGGAGTAACGTGTCAGCGGCCTTGTGAATACTCGCGAAGTCAAGGAGAGAAACAAGTCGAGGAGGATTTGTAAGGTAAGGACTGAGCAGGAGAAGAAAAGACAAGGACCAAGAGAATGGGGGGAAACAAAGACGAGCAAGAATGAAGTATGTAGTAGAGCCTAGGAGACCAGGTACAGGGAAATAAAAGTAAGTGAGTGAATGTGTAGAAGCAAATCAAGGAAGGGATAGGAATAGAGAGGATCCCTTTGGTAGGGCTTTCAGCTTTATTGTTGTTGTTGTTATTATTATTTTCACTGCTACAGCTAGATATAAGCATTACTCTGAGACCAACCATTATTAGTACAGATGTACAACTGCAAAGGCTATTACTATAGCTGTTAGTTATTTTTGTTTAATTCATAGAAGAGTATAATATAGGGAGGTATGGACATCTTTCAAGGCAAACCCCAGCCCCAAGAATGCTTTAAAGTACGCCCATGCCAGCCATCACCTAGACCCCTTGGAACAGTTTCTTCGGGGAAATCAACCCTCTTTCTGGCAATTCAAGGTACCCAGAAGGAATTAAGGAACGAGTAGCGTCTGCAGGAAGCAAAGTGTTTGGCTTCTCCTGGAGGTTCCACCACTAAAGCGTGCAGGAAGTAGTACATCCATGATACATGTACATGTAGAGCCTATACTCCTGCAGTGTCCCAGCCATTAGCCAGATAACCCTGGCCTACAGGTATTGCTCATATGGAACAATAAACAAAGGACACACGGAATGGAGAGGATGAAGAGATATGATGAGGAATTCCGTTGCTACAGAGAAATCAACCCAGGAATGAAGTGTAGTGGAGCTAATGGTGTGCCTGGAATTTAAGGATGCACCTAGCCTTGGATGTCGAAAAGATGCAGTCGAGAAGAGGTAAAAGAATCAGTTTAGACCAACCCAGCCTCTCATCGTATTCAAACAAGAAATAATGGCAGGAAGCAGTCGTCTGTATGATTCATTTTTGTGTGTGCATTAAACACCATAAGCACCGCCCATCCCATCACAAAGCCCCCATAACGCCTGATATATATATATATATATATATATATACATATACATATGTACATCCAAGACACAGTGCCATTCCAGACACGCGTCTTGGAACCGTCACTAACCTTACACATGTCTTGAATTGTATTCCGTACGGTCGGCTGAATGAGGATATCCTGTTGCCCACTGGATCCTGGAGACTATCTCTGATGCTATCAAGCCTAGCTTCGATTCAGGCTGGACAAAGCCCAATCACCTTGCAAATTTGTGATAATTCAGTCCCTTAGGATAACACACCATACAACTTCCACAATATAAACCTCCGCTCATTACCAAGATACAACCGCTCTTAAGACTCAATCGCCTTCGCCCGTAACCCAACAACCAAGCCTCCCTTCCCATCCAACGCCAAAAGATAATACTCAACCCTTGATGTGCCAACCTCCAGGCGATAAACCTTCACGTCGACACCTGACTCATCCATCTCAGAGCCCTGCACAGCTGCAGCCCGCACAGCCCGGAACGCAGACGGGTAGTGGTTCTTCGGATCAAACGAAGCCGGCGACAAGGTTTCTATCGAAGAGGCGAGATCGGAACCGGGGGCGATGAGGTTGGATAGGTGAGCTTTTTATTTGGCAAAACCAAACCAGTCAGCCCGGATCAGACATCCACAACCCAAAAAAAAAAAAAAAAAAAAAAAAAAAAACGAACAGAGTAAACAAGGGAAGAAAAGGTAAAAAAGGATGCATACAGGCATCTGGCCATACTCCTCTCGACGCACCCCCCCATTTCAACACAACGGGTTCAAACGGTTCATCGGTTTCGGAAACGTAGTATGCATCGACCGACGTAAGCGGGGGAGGGACCTGAACGCCCATGTCGACTGTCTCGGTGCGAACGGCCGACGAGGACTGGCTGGTTGCTTGTACGCGGCCGCTGTTGAGGTCGGCGTTTGCTTTGTCCAGGAAGGACATATACGCATCGTCAGAGGACATGTTGCGGGAGGGGACTCTAATTAAAGATGTGGTTGCGGTGGTTGTTGTTGGGCGGATGGGGGGGGGTGGTGTTCTGCGAGGGGACGTGCAAAGGGGGGCGTGGTTGTTTCGTGGGGCTTGTAGATGATAGGATCGAGATCTTTCACAAGATCGCGTAATAGAGCACTCCTGATTTTGGATTACAGAAAGATGCGAAGGCAGAAGTCCAAGCAACGACTTGAAACCTGGAGGGATGGACGGGGGTGAGAGGCGATCAATGACGCAATGTAGATTGCGGGCTGCTTGCCACTTTTGCATCGGGGGTAGAGAATTAAAAGTAGACGAGCGGAATCTCTCCAGGACAGATATGAATATTCTTGTTAAGTACGGTGAGGTAACTATGGCCTGCCTGGATTGTAAAAAATGAGGGAAAGAAAATTCTACCACCTCTTGCAAGGCAGCTTAGTGATCTTCCATACGGAAAGGCGCACTTTTTGATTTGGCATACAAAATCATCACCAGGACAAAAGCAGCTGTCTGCGTAACAGCAACACAGGACTTTATTCATCTCAAATACATCTACTCCTATACTACTACTACTACTACTACTACTACTACTACGAGAAAGAAATGTCTTGAAGGTATTGTTCGCTTTTTTTATTGAAACGTATAAGAAGTTGCACTACACCAAACCATAATCTCCATAAACACCCTAAGCAGAAGCAACAAAGTCCTTCTTGAGAGTACCCATGAAAGCACGCTTCTCCTCGGGGGTCTGGAAAGCACCGTGGCCGAACTTGGACGAGGTATCGATCCACTTGAGCTCGACCTTCTCGGTGGCTCTGCGGCTGGTCTGGGGGTACAGGGTCTTGCGCAGGGTCATGACACGCTTCTTAACACCAGGGACGGAACCCTTGACCATAACGTAGTCGTTCTTAACCTCACCATAGCGGACGAAACCACCCATACTATATGCTTGTTAATAATGTTGTTGTTGTTGTTTTTTTTTTTACCGGAAAGTAACAAGAGAACTTACGGAGTGATCTGCTTCTTGGAGATATCGAATTCGGTGGAGGCGTTGCCCTCATCGGTGCCCTTTCCAATGCGGAAGACCTTGTGGTTGCAGGAGGTACGGTGGTGGTAACCCATCTGACCAGCACGGGCAACGGTCCACTGGACGTGGCTAGGGTGCCAAGCACCGATACAAGCAACCTTGCGGAGACCCTTATGGGTCTTGCGAGGAAGCTTCTTGGTGCCCCAACGGGAGGTGACACCCTGGAAACCGTGACCCTTGGTGACGGCAATGACATCGATCATCTCATCCTTCTCGAAGATGCTGTCGATCTCAATGGGCTTCTCGAAGAGGTTGCGAGCGAAGTCAACCTTGTCGGCAACGGCACCACCGTTGACCTGGATCTCCATCAAGTGGGCCTTCTTCTGCTTGAGGGGGGTCTTGCGGACTTGGGTGTGGGCGAGCACACGGACGACAGTGCAGTACTTCTTAATGCGCTCGAGCTCGCGGGTGACGGAAGCACCGCTCTCCTCAGAGTGCTGCTTGGCGTACTTGGTAAAGGCCTTCTTCTTGCTCTTGTACCAGTTCTTGTAGAAGCGACGCTTGACCTCGTCGCTCAGGTGCTCAGCCCAGACGGTGGTGAGAGAGCGGAGACCACGGGGAGTCTCGATGTAACCGACAACACCGACAGCAATGAGCTAGTAAAATGAGAGAAATCCTAGTCAGCCATCCGCAACGCCAAAATCATCGGAGAGGATATTTTTCTTTTCAACATACCGGAGGAGTCTCAATGATGGTGACGGCCTCAACGATCTCCTTCTTGTGCATCTTGGCACCAGGTCTGTCAAGGTCACGGACAACAGTAGTCATACCGGCCTTGTAGCCCATGGAGGCTGTCAGGTGGACAGGCTTCTTGGGGTCATCCTTGGGGAAGCTATCGCAAGTTTCAGTATACCACATCCCTCAATTCCCAATTGAAAATCAAATTTTGTTTTTTGTTTTTTTTTTTAATTCCACACTAACCTCTTGACCTTTCCACGGTGTCTAGCGGCGCGCTTGCGAGGCAGGTAGGCAAGAGAGCCTGTAAAGTTCTTGTCAGTATAGACGCACAAAAAAATCGAATCTCCCAGTATCCCAGGGCGAAAAAGGTAGACGAACCGTGCCGAGGCGCTTCGTACTTCCGGTGACTCCTAAATAGAGGAATACAGATCAGCGATCTAATTCATTGCGAGTAACATGAACATCAATCTAGCGTAGAAGAACTCACATCTTGACCCTGTTGTCGTTAGTTGTCGAAGGTGGTGAGTGAGAATGTCTATCTCCAGGTTTGCCGGAAGTCCTATTTTGCAACGCTTAACGAGTGTGGGCTGCGTCTAAGCGAGAGAAGTCTTGGCAGTTTTTCCTATCCTGGGCTAGCGCACACGGGAGTACGCCCTGGTCGCCTGAGGCACCCAAAGAACCTTTTTTTTTTTTTCCCCTCGGTGCCTTAATCTCGTCTCAGGCCGCCACAAAAATTTTCGCGCCTTGACCTCAACTCAATCTTACTTTGGTACTTGGTTGGGGCCTGGCCCTACGTATAGTCTGTAAGTCACTCCTACTCCTCCAGCAAGTGAAAACAAATCCTAAGCTTATTACAAATTTTTCATTGGTTTTAATAGTGAATTTTGTCAACATTCTCGGAGGACTATACCAGAGAGCTAAATGTATTGGAAATTGGTAACAGTCAAGACACTCAAGTACAAAACCACAAAAACAAACCACCCCATACAGGACCGATCATAGAGTACAACTCAAGGGCTAAAACAACAGAGAACATGCTTGCCACCGGGGACAACTGGAAAAATATATGGACGTAAAAATGGGAAAGTGGGAGAAGAAAAAAAGAAAAAAAGACAAAACGGAAAAAAAAAAAAGAGAGCGAACGAGTGGAGGGTGTCTCATAGCTACCTAGGTAGAAACTTCATTATTGGAATCTTAGGTTATCTCATCTGAAAGAAAACTCATATGAATATGCCCCCGTGCATCTGGCGGTCCATTCAAGTCAAGTCACAGCGCGGCGTTTAAATAGCAGACTCCTTGGACTGCGATGCCTGGTTACTGCTATTAATAACCCCATTGCTATTGCCGTTGGCACTGCCTGAACCACTACCATGCGGACTACCCTTCACAGCGGGGTTGGCTCTCTTTTCGTCATCACCGTCATCGTCGTAATTTTCATCCACATCCATTTTTCGCGCCGCAGGCTCATGTGCAGGGGCCTGTTCGCCGCGAGCAGGCTCCTCCTTAACCTGAACCTGGACTTGGGAAGCCGGTGGTGCAGTAGAAGGACCGTTCGATGACGCAGGCGCACTTTCAGCCATGGGGGGGAGGCTAGATCCAGAGGGATGCTGAGGCATGTGCTGAATAGAGGGCAGTGTTGGAGGGTGATGTGCGGCTTCAGAAGGATGGTAGCTTTCGTTGACACGGCGTTGATCCTCACGTCGAATTTCGGACGAGCTGCGACGTCGCATCTCCCCAGGAGAAGGAAGACGGTTCGGAGGGGTGACACGACGCGAGATCTGGTCATCAAGTCGGGAGCGATTTTCCTCGCTCGCGATCTTCTTGGAGGGACCAGACTCAGCCTCCCATTCGCGGCCCCGCTTCATAGCCGAAGCTGGGCGATCTTCACGCTCGCGAGCAGCAGCCTCGGCCGCAGCGACGGCAGAAGCTGGTGGAGGCGCTCCACTGGCAATACCTGTGCTGCTAGATCCCTGGGCCGGGACACTAGGACCGTGGTGATACTGCTGGTGGGGATAAGTGGATCCGGGGGAGGAAGGTCGGTCTTCGCGAATTGGTCGGATCTCAGTGGGCGGAGTGAACGGGCGGTGATAAGGAGGCATAGGACCAGCAGAATTAGGTGCACCATTGGGGGCGCCCGGGCCGGGTGGAGGGGGTCCAGCAGGCGGCAAGGCGCTGCGATTAGCAGAACCAAAGCCAGCGCCACCAGGAGCCCGATCATGAGATGGGGGGGGAGGATTCGCCAACTGGGGAAGAGTATGACCAGGGGGGTAAGGGCCTGCAAGACCAGGCTTAGGGGAGCGGGCTGCGGGTTGAGGACGAACAGCATCAGGGAATCCTCGACCTGGTTCCTGGCGGGGGCTTGGTTGCTGAATAGCGCCAGGGCGGGTAGCATCGCGGTGGTCAAATCCGTTCGCTGCTTGGGCCTGGCCCTGAGACTGGATATCGTTGATACCACGGTTCCAGTCAGCAATTTGTCTGGGAGGAGCTGGTGGCTGGGGAGGAGGTCCTCCAGTTGGGGCTGGGGCCCCCCACTGGGGTGCGGGAGGAGCCCCGACACCAGGAGCCTGATAGGCTTGAGGATGAACGTCCTGGGGTTGAGGAGCGGGGCCATTAGTTTGACCAGAGCCAGAAAGCTGGCTTTGGAGTAGTTGCAGGCGTGCTTTAATATGCACGTTGGTGGGATCCAAATCGGCAGCGCGACCGTAGGCATCGAGAGCATCAGTGATTTGGTTGTTGCAAGATTCATACTGCATAAGCATCAGTATTGCTTTGGCCTTGTCAAGAATGGTGAGGGGGGGACGACTAGACTTACCAAGGTTCCCAAGTCATACCAGACCTCAGAAATGTATGGATTCAAACGGATGGCACGAGAGTAAGCATCCAGCGCATCACGATATTGGTTAATCTGATAATACAGGACACCAATCGAGCACCAGAAGGTTGGGTTGCGTCCATCACGATAGACAGCTTGCTGGTAAGCCTCGTACGCCTTGGGGTATTTGGCTTGGGACATATAGCAGCGACCGAGGAGATACCAACTCTGGGCATCGGTGTTATCTGTTATGGGAATATAATTAGGAACTGTTTGATATCCAATGACACTCTAGCCTTAAGCTTACCTGCGCTAACGGACTTCTCCAGGTACTCGATAGCTTTCTCTTGGCTTGCATAGCTGTTGCTTTGTTGGTGGTGCAACCATCCGAGCTGTTGCAGCACTTTCGCGTGGTTGGGATCACGGTCCAAGACGCGCCTATAGGCTTGTTGCGCAGATTCAAACTGTATCAATTAGCGCGTGTTAAACTTTCAAAGAAAGCTGCCGAAACTTACGTCCTTCTGCTGCTCATGGACGTGGCCAATCTGGAACCAAATATCTTCCTCCGTCAAGGGACGAGGAGGATCAGTGACAATGTATTTAAAGCACTTGGGAAACCAATATTAGTAAATCGGTATATTTAACACATGACGAATGTCCACCTACCTCCAGACTCTGGCTAAATTTCTGCTGCTGTTTATAGATTATTCCAAGGCGGAAGTAGATTTCGTTGGCCTTCTCGAACTCAGGTGCCATGCGCATAACCTGGGAGAAAGCTTCTTCGGCGTGGTCGAGAGAGCCATAGCGATCGTAAAGAATACCGATTCCATACCAAAGCTTAGGTTCCTTAGGATCGCGCAAGTGATAAAGAGCTTGCTGGTAGGAGGTGTAGGCCTCCTGCAAGTTATCCATCATCAGATGGCAATGACCTAGATGATTATTGTGTCAGTGAGTAACAGCACAAGAGTGCGATAGATAGATAGCGCGTACCCAAACTCCCCCATGTTTCTCCGCTAGTTGGATCTAGCTTCAAAATGTTCTGGAGGTATTCAATCGCCTTGGGAAATTGTTCCCTTGTCCGCAAAATCGAGGAAATCGCATTCATGGCAGGGATGGACCACTGGTTATGCCGCAGAGCTTGTTCGTAGGCGTTCATCGCAGCGTCTAGCTCCCCCATCAACTCCGTCAGGCTTCCTAGAGACAAAAGTTAGCACATGCCATCTGGGAATCTGCATGCATGAGAATGCAGGAACAGAGGGGCATTTCCATACCAATTTGAAGCCAGACCTGCTCATTCAGAGCAGCTATTTTTTGAGCCGTGCTGAGGGGGGGTCCCTTTTGGGCAGGAGACTGCAATGGCAGATGGCCATTAACCTGGGGATGGGCCGCAAGGTGACCATGGTGAGGAGTGACGCCTCCCGTCGGCGACGGCTGAGTGTGAGCCATATCGCCGAGATAGATCCAAGTCAAAATCGCAAGACAGATGAGTTCAAATGATGGCGATGGCCAAGATTCCCGTTCACGTTGCGATACGATGATGCAGTCCGCGCCGGTGTCACTTCAACGTCGCACAGTCCCGATATAGACAGTCGCGAAAGACGTAAGCCCAATGACCTTCTGACCAAGCGCAACACTGTTTCGGAATAAAATATCACCCAATGAGGAGTCTACCAGCGGGCGAAAAGCGGGCTAGTCAAGCAGGAAGGCTAGGATGTGTCCGTTGGGAATCGCTCTGTTGCGAAAAGGATAAGCCTGAGTTTGGAGCGAATGCGGTTGTAGGCCCACAGCAATGGAATTAAAAGAATACAAGCACTTTAACGATGAAAGGGCGAAACGTGAAAAGTGAGATGATCAAAAGGTGATATGAAGGGGGAAGACTGAAAATACAAGAATAAGAAGGAAGGCGATAAGGTCAGGGACGCGAAGAAGGGATGGTGACGAAAGAGAAAGGTGATGAAAGAATTGGGAAGAGATGGCAAGTAAGAGGACGGAAGAAGATACAGAGATATAGAAAGGGTGTCCCAGGCGAAGAGAGAAAAAGTGAGCCAATGGGGAAAGTGACAAAAGCGGGAAGCGAGGAAGAAGAGCGAGAGAGAGAGAGAGAGAGAGAGAGAAAGGAAAGGAAAGGAAGCAAAAGAGGAGGAGAAAGAGAGGAAAAGGTCGAGGGGCTGGTGGTAGAAGAGGGAAATTGCCAAGGGGCGCTAGTGGTTGTGCAGCTCTCGAGCAGGTCAGCGAAAAGCAAAGGAAAGCACGGAAAAGGTGAGATGGCGGTCGTCCGGCGCCAAGCCGAAGACAGACAGCTTTACGTCCAGGAACAGACTAGCGGCGTGGGGCCAATCTGGAGTCGTGTCCGCGGGTATTTACAGTTAATATTTTCCGGCTCTATATTTATTATACTAGTGACTGTTCGTACCTAGAATATACTTGAGTATTTTCCAGATCTCTATCTCCTAAAAATAACATTCACAAATTAGGTGTATCTCCAGATATCTGACGTATTTACTAAGTCTGTAGTCCATATACTCCATGAATTCTCCATTAGAGATAATCAAATAGTTTCGCCTTTGAGGGGTGTTGAAGTATGATCAACTATGCTAGAAAGGAGGCTTAGCTGAGTGTGTCATATTGGCAAGCGGCGCGAAGGGATCATTTAAGAATAGCCAGTCCTGTACATACTAAATATATAAAGTGGGAAAAATGAAAGGAAAAGAAAACCAGGGAAGAAAAGAGAGGGGGGGAAGAAAAAAGAAAAGAAAGAAACTGTGGGGAGCAGAGACAGATTTAGGGTGAATACTGGACCTAGAACTCCATAGATAGCAATGGTCGATCGTGATATAATAGAGCTGCAGAGCACTCAATCAGAATGATGACTTAATAGAAAGGAAAATGGGATGGAAAGAGACGAAGCATGATAAAATGGGGGGATTGAAACCTAAAAACAGAATAGAAAAAGGGAGAGAGAAAAAAAAAAATTAAAAAAAAAAAAATAAAAAAATAATAATAATAATATCATAATTAAAAAAAGAAAAAAAAAATTAGTTCGTATGGGGGCAGTGTCAGACGAGGATGCAAGAGCCAGAGAAAGCACCTCCAGGGATGAGCTAGAAAGAGGGGGTCGTCCAGCACGAACCCCCGGTTGTGACTCGCCGAGTGGCTGCAGGTAGACCATGGAACCCGGACCCACTGGGCCCTCTCTTTTCCCCGTGCCATTGATTTATTAAATAAACTAGTGCCATTCTCTAATAATATGGGAAGGAATTATTTACAGAAGGCCTGCCAATAATTCCTGGCCCTCTGGGTGGGGCTCTCCACGAACAAACATCCATGACTGGCGTATGGGGCCTGATCCTATGGGCCATAAGCTCAACCACCTAAAGGTAGGTAAGCTCCCGCCAGCATACTAAGGGTAGTAGTTTAGGCATGAGGCGTTACCTCCACTTCTTCTCTACCCACTCACTAGACTAAATGTTACAAATAGGTCCTTTTTTTTTTTCTCTCTCCTACCCCTGCTCACTTAATCCTCCAGAGAGAAAAAAAATTTTGCTCTGTCTGGCTTTGAATGTGCCGGACCAAGCATGCGCTTGCGTACATATGAAGTACTAGCCTGCTAAGGCACTCCTCCTGCTCGTCCTTCTCCTCCATGCCCTCTCCTACAGTCCCCACTCGAAATCACCCCCTCTCCCCCCAGCAAAAAGTAAAATTAAAATAAATCAAAAGAAAATAAACCAAAACACGAAATAATAATAATAATATTTTTACTTCAATATTGATTAATGATTTCTCGGGCCGCTTGGAGTCTTGGGCCAATATTCAGACCAAACCCCCCCTTCTCTCCGCCCCTCCTTCGCTTTCCCTCCCATCTCACACCAGAGTCCAGACAGGGTTAACTTTGCCCATACGTCAACCAGGCCTGCATATTCCCGGCTATGCTCCCCCGTCTAACTCTGTGTTGGCTTGCAGCTAGCTAAAAAAAAAATACTAAAAAAATAAATAAAATAAAATAAAAATAAAAAGCAACAAAACATTCCTTGATCCAACACGGAAGTTATCGTCTTGTTAAACAAGCCTCGGATTCAGGAGGGAAATCTACCTGTTCAACTTGGAAGCTTCTTCCCAATTCCGTCATGTTCTTAGCAGCCACTTTGGTCGGTGCGCATTACCCTAGGGTAGTTACTAGGTAGTTAGTTAACTAGTTACGCAGGCGGCAACCGCTGACTAACCCAAGGACTAGCCCAGATCCAACATGGTAAAATTAAATCTAAAATATTTAAAAATGCCACCAGCCACAAAATCACAGATTCCTAACGGATTCCATTGAGTGGGTCACTCCCGATGCTGATCCGTCGGTTTTTCTTTCGCTGTCGATGATCTTGATACATCTATTAGGGTGGGCCGATCTCTGCCATATCTGCCTTACCCATGGCATCACAATGGATTTGAGGATTTCTCGTTTTTTTCCCCTCCCTCTTTATTATTTAGGTATGTATGGACTTTGATTCCACTTCTATAGCAGGGACCAGAAACCCTGAGTTCTTCTTATTCCAGTGTGTTGCAATTAAGGCTCCCTGTATAATAATAATGTTCCCAGGGTCCCACTCCTAACGTTGGAATCCTCCCTAGGCTAGGTAGGCAGCTTGTGGCGCCCGACTACGGAGCGCATTCGTCGCCTTTTCTTCCCCCTCTTGAGTCTGGAGTCTGGAACCCACCCGTCCCCTATTTCGGGTCCGAGTCACGACCGCCTAAAATTTGAAAACTGGGCGGGTTTGTTTTCATTTCTTTTCAGTCATCCACAGAGCACAGATAAAATATTAAGATATGTTGGACCCCGATATATTACTCCATGCATGCGCAGCTGCTAACCGCTGCCTGGCAATGTACCTGAAACATGGAGCCGAGGTAGGGTGCCCTGTACAACAATGTAGTGATTCAAGAGGACATTCCATCTGAAGAATTCTGTACCTTTATTAATCATCCTTTTTACTACTCCGGAACTATACTCTGTCCATATCATCCGGGGTCTGTTGCACAAAATATATAACCGCCCCTTCCGACCTAGTCTCCAGGGTCGTGCCTTGTGCGCCCCCGACAGCTTAACGCTCAGGACAGCTCAACACTTAGTTTTTCAAAATTTCAACTATCCTACTTCAAATCTATTTTATTCAACCACCACCATATCAGAAGACTATCATGAAGTTAAAAAATAAATTAAGGATGCTATAAATGCCTTATACTTTTAAAAAAAACCTAATATCTCTAAAACTGTACAAGATTTCAACATGTTAAGGCACTACCTTGGGGCATGCTGGAGGGATTGTAAAACTTGATCCTAGTGGCAACTACTAACTATGAAGTTATCTCTAGCTCAGGATTTTGCTATTTATTAATATATTAATACTCTAGATGATCTAGGAGTCTACCCGCAGCCTCAAATAATTATAAATTGTACAAATTCTATCCTATAATCCTCCTACAAAGACCCAGAGACCCAACCACCTGAAGTTAGTAAAAAATAGTTTAACTGATAGCTTTCACGGAATCCTAGATATATAAGAAAGCAGGCAAGAGTCATGGAATCAGATAGAAAGAAAGTAGAAGATAAAGATCTTATCTTTACCTAGTTTACTTATCTAAAATATATTCTTTTTACTAGGGGTATCCTACCTGAAGATATATAGAATTTTAATAAAACTAGCTTTTAGATTAGAGTTAGAAAAAATTATTAGATTATCTAGCATGTAAAGAAATACTAAAGGGCCTATATTTCTTCTAATTCTAATTAGGAATATATAACTATGGTTAAAGCAGTTAATACTATTAGATATACTATAGAACCACTTATTTTATTAAGTAATAAGTATATCCTAAAGGGCTAGTTTAATTAATTAAAACCTAGATATCATATTAGGGTTAGTAATATAGGTTATCTAAATAATAAGCTTATCTATTAATAGATATAAATATTTAACTAGTATATAAAATCCTATATAAAAGGCAAATATTAACTTCTTATTTATAATAGTTTTAGATCCTATATAATCTTTAAATTCATTAATTTCTATAAAAAAAATAATATTATTATCTTCTTTTTACTACCTTATATAAGTTATATTCTTTAACCTCTTAATATTAGGGTATTTCATACCTATAAGTATTAGCATGCTGAAGCAGTTACTAATATAGAATATTCTAGAGGTAGAAAATTTACTAAGGTTAAATTTTTTTATGCTCTTTATATAATTTAAAAAAAAATCTTTAAAAGGCATATAATTACCTATAGCTTTTAAAATACTAGAATTATGCCTTTTTAATCTTAAAAAGTTCTATAATTACTACTTAAAAGACCTTCTACTTAACTAATTACTTCTAGTAATTCTAGATCCTTTCATTCCTTTAGAAGCACTCCTAAGACTGCTAAATACTTTAAATTCTATATATAATATCTTCCC